CTTAAGAGAAAACCCCCTTTGTCCCCTGCCTAAAGAGGGTAAACAGTTTCTAGGTGTGCTTTAGGTAAGAAGGGGTTGGTAAACCATGGCCAGGCCTAGTTGGTAAATCAAGTTTTTTTTTTGTTTTTTTTTTTTTATTTCGGCATATTATGGGGGTACAGATTTTAAGGTTTCAAGTTTTATTAGAACACAGCCATACCCAGTCAGCTACATATTGTCTGTGGCTGTATACTTGTGATGGTGTGACAGAGTGTATGGACCCACAGGTCTAAAATATTTACTATCTGATCTTGAGAAAAAGTGTTCAGATCCCTAAAGGATGAGAGAAATGAGGAAGGAATTTATTCTTCTACATACAGACCTTTTATTAAATAAACCCTGTGTTTCAGCCCCATTTCTCATTCCCGGCCTTTAGTGGACCTTCCATTCCTAGTCTGTCGTATTTTCTGGGTTCCATCGGAAGGACCACTTCTGTGGTCATAGCTGTACATAGCTACTGCCCTGACCTCTACCACTGGCAATTAACTTTCTCTAGACTTCTAACTTGAGTTTTAGTGTCATCTTTTCCAGGCTTTCATTTAATCCAGGTTCAAAATGACACACGTTTCAAATTTTAAAATTTTCGCTATACTTACATAAGTGTAAACAAAGTAACTTGTATTTTCTGACTAAAGCAAGCTGCTAAGAGAGGCCAGTGTGACGGTGACTGGGGTGAGCGGAATGCCAGACCAGTTATTCATTTGCAGAAGTAATGTCTGACTTCAGACACCACTGATAGCAAGAGGCTGTCTAATCTTTTTCTTTGAAGTTCAGCCAGTATGCAGCTATTTCTGGTTCTTTCCATTTTGTTGCAATTTATTTTATTGTAATAATCATGCTGTTAGAATTCCTTTAGAAAGCTGACACGTATAAGTGTTAACATTGGTTCAGATTTTAAAATTTTTATTTTTGTGATATTATTTATTTATTTTGCCCTGCTTTTATCCTCAGATCTTTAAAAAATTTTTAGCAGTAGCCCCTCTGACCAAGTGGAGGGATGTGTAGCCATATGTTAGATTGTACTTTTCAAAAATGTTTTCTGCAAAACTTGTATTCTGTTGAATTTCTAGTACATAATCATAGCAAATCTGACTCTGAGGTTTTTATTAACATTTATCATCTATTTGGCTTCAACTTATATCTTTTCACTATCGTGCCAGATAGTGTCAATCTGTAACCCAGAAGACCTTTTAAACTGAAATTGTTAATTATAATTCCAATGGATAGGGTCAAAGAACAGCTACTCGTTCATTAATAACTTTTATTTTTTCTTTTTATTTTACAAAAATCATCACTAGTTCTGTGATTTGTGGCTTTAAAATGTTAATAAATGTTCTTTTGTGTTACTCTGTATTTTTTAATTTTAAAAATGTAGGATATGCCAATAAGTAAAAATGAAGAGGCTATTACTTATAATCTCACCAAACTATAACATTTGATGTATATTCTTCTGTTTTTTCTTTTCTAATACATGTATGTACGAAGGCTATCTGGAAAATATCCAGCTATGTAATATGAAAAATATATTAACAATTGCTGGATACTTTCTGGACATCCCTCATATATTAATATTTTTAAAGTAATATTCAACTCTTCTTTTCCTCTACTCTTCCTGAAAAATCCAGTCCACAAGCCATTAGGTGAGGTCAGGCATCTTCAGCAGAAGGGCAAGGTTTGGTGGCCCAAGCTGGCTGCCAGAGCGCAAACAGGGTTACATAGGAGGGCAGCCTAGCACAGGCCGTCAGATCCCAAGCAGGATGAGGTGGGAATCATGCAGCTGGGGTTGGGATTTGGGGAGGAGACACCTCTAAGTGGGATATTGGAGTCTGAAGAGCGGGAAGAGACTGTCCAAATGACAGGGAGTGGGGAAGCAGTGTGGCAGCAGCTCCACCAAGAGGTCCCAAGAACAGCTATACCCCCAAAACAAAGAGCACACCTAGCACTTGGGTTATGGGGTATTATGTTGTCAAATTTCAAATGTTTCAGGAAAAAAATTGTTATAACTATGTACTTGTAACTTTTCTGTCAATTTGAGAACATATGTAAAAAGAGTAACATCAGAGAACAAATAGAGATTGTTCATTCCAAAATGTACTTGATAGTGGCACAGGAACATGGCATCTGACAGAGGACTATGAAATTAATGGATGTCTCAGCAAGGAAAACAAGCACTAACCTAAAAACATCTATAATTTTTTTAAAATATGAAACTTGTGTTAAAATATATTTTGGGTACAGAATCTTGTATTAAAATACATTTAGTGTACAAAATAATTTCATTAACGCTATATAGAGATCACTGAAAATAGTTATGAGTATTTCAGTCATTCTTAAACTTAGATTTGCATGAATAAATGAAGACTTCATTATTATTGAGAAAAAAAATTAGGGTTCAAATATTCAACATACTTATTGAACACATAATACTACCATGTTTCCCCGAAAATAAAATCTACCCATAAAATAAGCCCTAGCAGGATTTCTAAGCATTTGCACAATATAAGCCCTACTCTGAAAATAAGACCTAGTGATGGGCGTGGCTATGCAGCGTATCTGCACAGCCCATGCATTTCGTCACGGAGCACTAAAGAAGACGAGCAGCCCTTCCCATCTGTCCCATGAGAGCTCTATTGTTCTACATGAGAGATTGGGGCCAATGGTTCTAAAGGAAACAGAGTCACAAGAAGTTCAGGATGGAATTTGGGGTTTGGAGAGTTATGATGATGTTCCAGAAGAAGACAACTTAACTATACTTGAATAAATGTAGATTATTGTACTGTACTTAAAAAAAAAAATAACACATCCCCTGAAAATAAGCCCTAGGGTGTCTTCTTGAGGAAAAATAAATCTAAGACCCTGTCTTATTTTCGGAGAAACTTGGTATGTGCCAAGCCTCGTGCTAGAATTAAAAATGGGAAACAAGATAGACAATGGCCCCTGTCCTCATGTGGTAGACACACACACACACAAATAACCAACTAAATGGGTATATATAAAATGTATATTACATTTTATAATTTTAACCTGATATATTGGGGACTATTTTCCCATGACATTTAAAATGTTTCACAGGGTACTCCTGAAGAAAACAAGACTATCTCAATTTAAATCATTATTTATTTATTTTTTAGAGACAGGATCTCTCCATGTTGGCCAGGCTGGACTTGAACTCCTGGGCTCAAGCAGTCTTCCCACCTCAACCTCATAAGTAGCTGGGACTTGCAGGCATGCACCACTGCACCCAGCTAGGCTATCTCAATTTAGAGTGGCACTCTATGAAAGTCAGTGAAGTTCTAATGTTTAGAACATGTATCAGGAATTGAAAAAACAAAATTTTACAACCTGAATATCTCTTTGATAACATCTTCAGAGCAAAAGGTTATTAATTTATTTGACATATAATTATTTCTCCAAACATTGAACATTAGTACAAAATTATTACAAAAAATTCATTCCAAAGCCAATTTTAAGTAATCTGGGGGTTTTCTAAGGCCCATTTTCTTTCTCTGCGATTGCCATACATGATTATGTGTTGAGAATGTATGATATATACAAATGGAAAACTAGATAGAACCAAACTAAAATATCCTTTTACCTGTTCCAATCTTACAAAGATAAAATTTTATTCTCAAATTTTAATAAGCATCAGAATCACCTGAAAGACTTGTTAAAACTCAGATTTTTGGGCCCCATGCCAAGAGTTTCTGCTTCAGTAGGTTTGGATGAGGTCAGAGAATTTTCAAACTTTTTTTCAAACAAGTTGCCAGATGATGCTTATTCTAGTCTAAGGCCCATAACCACTGCATCAGAATATCTGGTTGAAGAGACTTGGTTAAGGTCATATGAACCTCTTACTCAAGACTCAGGAGGCCTAACCTTAAATTTGAGGAACTCTAGCTTACTATTTCTGGTAACTTGATGTCATGGATAATTTCCGCTTGGAGTCAGAGACCTTGATTTCTTGGTTTTATTTTATTTATACAGGATTAATGCAGTATCGAATGGACAAGTCCGAGGTGATAGTTACAGTGAAGGTTGTCTGGGTCAAACAGGTAAACAGGTGCAAACAGCATCTTACTATACATGTTTACATCCTTAAAATGAGAATTATATATGGAAGACCACTCGTCTAAATCCTTCAGATCAGGGATAGTATGGAGTTGTGTCTAGAAAAGAGGTTATAGGTTCCAAGGCATAAAGTAAAATTGGTGTTTGGTCAGAGTTGATTGTATAGTGCAGAATACACAGGTTTAAGTATATAATCCTGTGTAATAATATGTAGATATTAATGTAAATGTATACAAGATACAAATGCAAAATAGAGTTTATAGTATTTTAAATTATATCACTTTTAAAGTCTATCACTTCTTTCTTCACTTTTTTGCCAACCTTATTTGGTTGAATTAGCATTTTGAAATAGTTTAGAATCAGAGCTGTGGTTTTTTTTAAATTGTGGTAAAATACTCATACAATTCTTACCCATCTTAACCATTTTTATATGTACAGTTCAGTATTAAGAATGTATCAAGTACATTCAGAATCTCCAGAACGCTTTTCAACTTGCAGTAGTAAATAGAATCAGAGAGTTGGTCCTTGGGCTCACCAGGCCTTACTTTCTCTACTGGGGACTGTTATCCCCTGGACTGCATGGCTATGTACCTGTGGTAGCAGAATATAGGGGAAGTGGCACAACTTCTTGCAGAGTCCAGTTTACTCAGAGATTTGAGGAGATAGGTATTTATTAAGCAATTTAAATGATAAACTTGAATATCACATTCACACAAATATAAACCTGGCTTATATATATATATATATTTTTTTTTTAAATGAAACAGAAAAAAACACCATAGCCTTGTCAACTCTGAAAGAAGGGATGAGTGTTAGCAGTTAGCGTTATAATAGTAAGACAATAATAGCTAGAGCTAGGACTAGCATATGACTATCACATCTCTAATAAAATTTCATTAGCTTGCACAGCTTTGGGGGTCCAGAGCCAGATATATTTGTTTTAATATGACATCTATTAGTAATAGATCATTCTTTTGGAACTATTGTTTTATGTTTTGGGCGTGAACTTGGAAATTAATATATATAGTATTGTATTTGCTGTGCTTTATTGAGCTAAGTAGTGTTTTTATTAAAATGTATTTGTGCTAATTAAAGAAAGAGACCCTATCTCAGAATTCATTTTAGGCAGTCTAATGACTCCATTTATTATGTGTAGCAAATTTTCATGAATATATTAATATTAATGTGATTTAAAAGTTGGTTGTCCTTCTCTGTTAACATAATTTTAATGCCACTTACCTAAGTACCAGCCACAGTAAATTTGCTTTGCTGCCTGACCTCCTGAAAGTGAAATATGGTAACTTTGAGATTTATACATCACTGAATATGAATTTTTTTAAGTATATATATGTTGTTTGAAAGTGTTCTTGGGCCGGGCGCGGTGGCTCATGCCTGTAATCCTAGCACTCTGGGAGGCCGAGGCGGGAGGATTGCTCCAGGTCAGGAGTTTGAAACCAGCCTGAGCAAGAGCAAGACCCCGTCTCTACTATAAATAGAAAGAAATTAATTGGCCAACTAATATATATATAGAAAAAATTAGCCGGGCATGGTGGCGCATGCCTGTAGTCCCAGCTACTTGGGAGGCTGAGGCAGGAGGATTGCTTGAGCCCAGGAGTTTGAGTTTGCTGTGAGCTAGGCTGACGCACTCACTCTAGCCTGGGCAACAAAGCAAGACTCTGTCTCAAAAAAAAAAAAAAGAAAGAAAGTGTTCTTAAACTTAGGAGCACAATTTCTAAAAATATGTGGAAAATGAACCTATAAAAATGGTAAAATGTATTTTATGAGCTGTTTTACAGGAAGGTTGAATAAAGTTTTTCTCAGTGTAGGTAGTTTGGGAAAGTGAATGTATGCATTTAGAATACACAGACCAATAAACAATAAATTTTAAAAAAAGGAATATACAGACTAATCAAGAAGAAAAAGGCCAACTTCTGCACTGATGAAAGGTACTTAACTCATGTTCTACTGTTCTTATCATAGACTTTAATGGCAGCTGCACATTTTTTTCTGTTTGGACTTTTGTTTTCTTTTTGAAAGTTAATTATACTACCTGCTGCCATATGAGAAACAATTCTGGTAAAATGTTATTTCTTTTAAGGTGCTCGTATTTGGCTGTTCATTGGTTTCATGTTGGCCTTTGGATCTCTGATTGCATCTATGTGGATTCTCTTTGGAGGTTATGTTGCTAAAGGTAAGAGAAAACACAGGTTACAATTTACTAAAGCAATCCTAGACTCATATGTGTTGTCACTTTGTGCTCAAACCAAACATAATTACCAGAAAAATCAATTACACTAGGCAAGAAAACTGATGTTTGCCAGTATATCTTAAACTCAATGTTTTGAGATAATAAACCTCTAAATATTACAATTATTTACAGAAAAAGCCATAGTATACCCTGGAATTGCTGTATTTTTCCAGAATGCCTTCATCTTTTTTGGGTAAGTCTGTTTTACATTATTCATCTTATCTTTTTTTTAAATAATAGCTGCTTTTGTGATTTACTATATTTAGTTGCTTAATTTACCCCTGTCCAATGCCACTCCTCCATGTTATTTTCATAAAATATGAAGAATGAGGTTGAGAAGGGTATTTTTGAAACATGGGTTGGTTTGCCACCAACCTTGGGAACATACATTAATTTTTAAGATTGCTACCACTCCCCCTTTAATGAATAACTATGATTCATGTAGATTTAGTTATGTAACACTGACAATGTTTATTTTAAATCTAGATCTCTAACAGTTCTTTTAATGAAAGGCTATCTAAAACCATTTCTCCTTAAATTTTAGTTTCTGGCATATTTTATAGTTCTTCTATCCTTGGTGTCATTAGAATTTGTGAGTGAGATTTGAGCTGTGGAGGAAAAGTCCTAACATTTTTTATCCTGCTGATACAATTACAAATGAAAAGATTACTAAAACTCCTAAAAGCACCAATACTTTTACTAATAATCTTCTCAGGTGTTCATTCTTTTCTAGAAACTTAAGGTCTCTCCTTTCCTCTACCCCTACTGTTCTCCAAACAAAAAATAAAAAGGAAAAAAATCACAGCAAAACAGCTCTCTATTGCATCAGAAGTTCTTAACCTTTATCGTGTAGGCAGGCTTCTGAAGAGGAGAAATCACCAGACGTTTCCATGTGTGAGAAATTGGTGTTCCTGCTTGTTTCTGGGAAGAGATAGTCTGCTTTCATCAGATTTCATCAGATTTTTCAGAGAAGTTCCTATTCCAAAAATGGTTAAGAAACTGCTGTATATTGTAGGACTTCTCCTTCCCTGCCTTCCTACCCACTTCTAAAAAAGAAATAAACGCCCCATATCTACTTAAACCACTTTTTTTCTTCTTTTCTCTCTCTCTCTCTCTCTCTCTCTCTCTTTCTCTCTCTTTCTTTTTTTTTTTTGAGACAGGGTCTTGCTGTGTCTCTCAGGCTAGAGTGCAGTGGCATCATCATAGCTCACAGCAACCTCAAACTCCTGGGCACAAGGGATTCTCCTGCCTTAATCCCTGGAATAGCTGGGACTACAGGTGTGCACCAACATGCCTGACTAATTCTTCTATTTTTTTTTTGTAGAGACAGGGTCTCACTCTTGCTCAGGCTAGTCTTGAACTCCTGGCCTGAAGCAATCCTCCTACCCTGGCCTCCAAAAATGCTAGGATTACAGGCATAAGCCACTGCACCTGGCCTTCCCCTCCTTTTTTCTGAAAAAAGAAAAAAAGATTGTAACACTGCACTTAAAAAATACAAAGTAAATAAACCTCTCCCCACTTATGATATACAATTTGAGTGTATGTTATTTTATAGGATAATACAGCATATGTTTATGAGAGGGAGAGTATTGATAGTTAGGATTTCTTTTTCTTTCAAGTTGCATACTGAGGCTTGAGCATCTTTAAGGAAGGACCAGGCATCCTCAGCTCTGGTACCTCCACAGTACTCCACAAATTCAGCCACAGGAAAGTAGTGTCACAAGGTCAGAGGCAGGGGGTAAGAGATGCTTCAGGATGGAGTAGTGAGAAGAGGATTTACTCAGAACTGGCTAGTGAAGGGCAAATGGCAGCCTTCTTTATTTTCATCATTGCCTGCTCTAGCAAGGATAAAGGGTAAAGTAAGTTCCACTTTGAGACACTGCTTTTGACAGGAAAGATAATATGTTATAGCAGAGAGGAACAGAGAATTGAGGGAGGAAGATTTGTGGGCAAATTTTATGTCTTCCAGTGAAAGGCAGAAATATAAATAACTTCATACAGTGCTTACCATATTTCATAAAACTTAGAAATTGATCATTGACTTGCCATTATTGCACATTACTTATAATAAATTGCTTTTATATGCAGCAAGTTTGGTTAACTTCTCATTTGTTACTGTTATACCTATTAAATCTAAAAACTAATTAGGTTGTATGAGAATACTAATCTTGAAAAAATAATCTTGGACTATCAACAAATTAAAATTAAATTTAACTAAGAGACACTGTTATCAGAATAGTTGTAGCAGATTGCCTACTACTCTGATTTATAGCAGAATGGTACTCAGAAACAGCTTAGAAATTACTATTTCAGAAACCAGAATAGACAGGTGACCATCTGACAGCGTAGGTGGCACTGGCTCTTGCCCAAGAAACTCTTCAGATTACACTTCACATCTGTCGACTAGTGTTCTGAAGTTACTATGTTTCTTTGAAGCTGTCTGAAGAGTAGAGTCTTCTAATAACCAACTTCAGTTTTTCTTTTATATAGCAATGGGTGTGATATTAACTAGAAGAGCAGTTAATAAACCACCTTTTGGAGGTTTATTAAATCCTTCATAAGGAGAAATTAATATGCTTCCAAGAAGGGGGTACCAGATTAGTTCCTGGTTGCATTTTTGTTTTCATTAGAAAAAAAAAACACCACTGAAGCATTTACCTCATGAAGACATTTTATTTTATTTTATTTTATTTATTTATTTATTGAGACAGAGTCTCACTCTGTTGCCCAGGCCAAAGTGCTGTGGCATGGCATCAGCCTAGATCACAGCAACCTCAAACTCCTGAACTCAAGCAATTCTCCTGCCTCAGCCTCCTGAGTAGCTGTGACTACAGGCATGTGCCACCATGCCCGGCTAATTTTTTTATATGTATTTTTAGTTGGCCAATTAATTTATTTCTATTGTTTTTTTTTAGTAGAGATGGGGTCGCGCTCTTGCTCAGGCTGGTCTTGAACTCCTGAGCTCAAACAATCCACCCACCTGGGCCTCCCAGAGTGCCAGGATTATAAGCGTGAGCCACCACGCCCAGCCTTGAAGCCATTTTAAATTGATCATTGTAACTGTGGACTTGAGTATGCACTGGTAATTGGAAAACTGACAAGATGACAAAATAAAAAACAGCATATGCCTTGAAATGTCTATCTTGAGTTTCTCTTTCACACTCACCCCCTGCATCCAAGTCCTATTAAATCTGCCTCTGGATGGTCTGAAACCTGTTCTCTTTTTGTTCATTTCCATTGTTTATGTTCACTCATCATCCATTGCCTGAGCAGTTCTCATCCCTCACTCATTCCTCCTTCTGCCTTTGGTCTCATCTTCTTTGGTTTTTTGTTTTTTTTCCTGTGGTTTTTTGTTTGTTCGAGATAGGGTCTTGCTCTGTCACCCTGGCTGGAGTGCAGTGGCATGATCATAGCTCACTGCAGCCTCCACTCCTGGGCTCAAGTGATCCTCCTGCCTCAGCCTCTCAAGTAGTTGGGACTAGAGGCATGAACCATAACACTCAGCTGATTTTTCTGCTTTTAGTAGAGACAGGGTCTTGCTGTTTCTCAGGCCAGTCTTAAACTCCTGAGCTCAGCCTCAGGAGGCTCTCTCCTCAGCCTCCCAGAGTGCTAGGATTACAGGTGTGAGCCACTTTACTCAGCCCTAGCTAATTTTTCTTATTTTTGTTTTTGTAGAGATGACGACTGGGTCCTACTATGTTGCCCAGGCTGGTCTCAAAACTTGGCCTCAAGGGCCAACTGCCCCTGGATAGAGCATACAGGCTTTTAACTCATTGAGGCACTTGTGGGTGATTTGCCACCCTGGGCAGTTGGCATCCTGAAGCCTGGCTGCCTGCATTGCCTGTCCCCCTCATCTCTTGAACTGTATGTAATCTAGCCCTGGTGGACTCTTCCCTGTTCTACTACACTTTTTTAATGCATATAATTATAGCTTTTTAAATGCATATAATTGTCATCTTGCTTCTCTGAAGTAGAAGCCTCAAGGACACACTATAGGTACTCCGTCACGGAAACCATAGATGGTAAGCTCTGTGAGGGTGTATTTCCTGGGCATATACCAACCTCCTGGGTTTTTCCTAAAGCCCCGTGGGTTTTTTATGCCTCATTGCCCTTTGATGTACTGCTTCCACTCCCTGAATCATCTTCCTTCATCATCCCACTGCTCTTGTTCCTACCAACTTCCCATTCAAACTCCTGTTTATCCATCAAAGCCTGTCTCAGGTATTGCCACCTCTTTAAATCCTTTTCTAACTCATTCAGGCAGATTCTGTGTTTCTATACTTAACACTCGGTATATATGCCTCTTTCTCTACCCCCAACCCCAGTACTTAGACCACATCAGGCTATCAAGAATGTGAGCAGGCTGGATGCAGTGACTCACTGTAATCCTAGCACTCTGGGAGGCCGAGGCCAGGCGCGCGATTCCGCTCCGGTACCCCCGTCAAACCAGCCTATCAAGAACCGGAGCCCGCCGCGCTCTCCTCACACTATAAATAAAACGAAATTAATTGGCCCAAACTATAAACTAAGTATATGAAAAAATTATGCCCCGGCATGCCCGCGGCGGCCAACCATGCTGGTACCTCCAGCTACTCAGGAGGCTGAGGCAGCAGCATTGCCTTGAGCCCAAGGAGTTTGCAGTTGCTATGAGCCTAGAGCTACACCACAGCACTGCACGCTAGCTGGGCAACAAAGGGAAATCTGTCTCAAAAAAAGAAGAAAGCAAAGATGTGAGCAGGGCGGGGTGCCGTGACTCACACGCCTGTAATCCTAGCTCTGGCCGCGGGCGCCGCGAACGCAGCCATGCGTCTCAACAGGTGTCGAGCGTGGAAACCAACACCTATCAAAGAGGAGGCGACCGGCCGCGCCTCTATACCGGGGGGTTTTGTCCCCCGAAACATACCTACCCATAAAATCCAACTTTCTTTCTGAACACTTGCATAATGATCAAGCTCCTACCCGACAAGTCAAGACCAGCGATATGGGGTATCTCGCGGGGCTACTCAGCATACGTCCTTGCACAACCCATACGCATTCGTGCTGTGGTGCAGTTCAAAGAAGATGACAGCCTTCTCTCATTCAGTCGTGACAAGCTAGCCCTACCGAGTGACTGGAAAGTGGGTGCAGGCCGGCTCCCCCGTGTCAGCTCCGCAGCCATCCTGTGCGCTGCTGCAAGCTAGGCGTTGAGGGGCCAATACCAACATCCCGCGGGTAAAACTTACCCTGGGGTGCAGTCTTGGTGCAGGAAAAATAAATATAGATGGCACGCCTGTCTTATTTCGGGCTAAACCTTGGTACTTAAAAATAGAAACGAAATTAATTGGACCAACTAAAAAGATATCTAAGAGGGAAAAATTTAGCCAGCACCTGGCGCATCCTGTAGTCCGCAGCTACTCGAGAGGCGGCGTGCAGGTGGGGTCGCGCAGAAGGGAGTCGGAGGCGTTTCTTGTCAGCTTGAGGCGCAGGAGCTTTGGTTCTGTGATGCCAGCTCGACAAGCATGGCACCTAGCCTCAGGCAACCAGAGTCGATACTCTTCTCAAAAAAAAAAAATAAAAAAATAATAAATTGTAGCAATTTAGGCGCCAAGGTATTTATTCCTGCGCCCTAGCACCGTACAGCATAACTCAGTGGATGTTTAGAAAGAGGTTGATTGGGACTTGTGAAAAAGATCAGACATAGTAATGTTACGATGCTGAAACATTAGTTAAGCTTCTGTAAATCCACCGTCAGTCTTCAGACTCGGGACGTTAGGGTTCGTGGCGTGAATGGATATGGCAGCAAATACACAGCTGAGCACGATGAAAGAATTCACTACCTTAGACGATCAGTTTCTGTTTTGATATATTCTGTGTCAAAATTTTTTATACAGTTCATCAGTTATTCTTTGTGGCTTACTTCCCACCATTCTCAAAATCTTACATATTCTTTCTTTACCCAGATTCAGGTAGTCATGTGATATTTCTTGTTTTATTCACAGAGGACTGGTTTTTAAGTTTGGCCGCACTGAAGACTTATGGCAGTGAAAACATCTGATTTCCTACAGCACAGCAGCCCTGCATGGGTTTTGTTTTGTTTTGTTTTGTTTTGTTACTGCTCACTCCCAATCTTTTGTAATGCCATTTTCTAAACCTATTTCTGAGTGTAGTCTCAGCTTAAAGTTGTGTAATACTAAAATCATGAGAACTCTCTATTTGAACAATAACAAAGCTATTGTGGTATGCACTTGATTAACTTATAAAATGTTAAAGGAAACTTTCACAGAGTAATTTTGTCAAGTTTTATCATGGTATAACATGTTAAAAATAAGAAATTACAAAAGACATCATGGATTCATCAGTGTGACCGTTTCTCATATCTGAGGTCCAGAACTGCAATGAAAATGCTCTGAAGATTTGACATGTTTATTTGTGGCCTCTTCTGTGTCAAATGTTAAATGAAATATAAACATTTTCTTGTTTTTAAAAACTATTCAGTAGTCAAAATTCTTTCTCACTATACTTGGTGTTTGGTTTCTATGGTTTTACTACACATTCTGTAAACATTTAGCATCAAGTAGCTTTCGAGGGTCTCCCAAGGGGTGAGAGGACATGTTGGAAGTGAGAAGCCCCATGGTCCAGCCACCAGGCTCCTCATGTCCCTTCTGTGGGAAGTTCTTCCATTGTGCTGCTGACTCAGGGGGAAAGGGGGATGTAACTGAGTCAAGCAATGACATGTGGTTCTGGTAGGACACTGGCAGTCCCTCCATACCCACAGTTGAAAGAAAGAGGAAAAGGACAGGGACTGGACACTAGTCTCTTGACCATTTCTTTGTTATTCTGTTGGATTTCATGTTTCATTTTATCTGTGTGCAGAACCACTAAGCTCACAATTCATCAGCAAGTTCAACATAATTACAAACATTAGCTACTGGGAACTGACTCTCATGGTCTGTTCCTCTTTGGAACTCTCTTGTCCCCTCAGGCTCTCCAGCTTGGCAAAGTGGGATACACATTCTTCAGAACTACAGCTTGAAACACCTTTCATAAAACATACTACAGTTAGCCCTACATTAAACACAAAATATATCTTGGGTGATTAAAGTGTGTGGAACTCTCTTCCATGTCTGTCATTATCTGCCAATCTGTATGTTTTGAATATTGACTGGTGATAAAGATGCTACTCAAAGGAATGACTGTATTGCTGGCATCCCACATGAAATCACTCATGATTTTTTTTTTTTTTTACACCTTTAGAATGTGAAAATTGGAAGAGATCTTAGAGGTTGAAGTCTACCCTCTATTTTTACACATGAGGGAACCCAGCCCATGGAAATTTAAATGATTTCCTTAAGGTCCCAGAACTAGTTTTTTAACCCTGTGGCAGTGCAACCCCTACCCCACAACTGACTACAGCCTCTTTCCCCGCAGTACGACTCAGAATATGCGCAGGGAACACTAACTATCTTGTAAAACTGCTGGAATAAAAGCATTATGTCTGCAAGGACTAAATATAAGTGAGTTCTTCATTGTCCTATTTTGTGTTATATGATCCGTTCATGTAAACAAGAGTTAACTGGGTAGCATATTTTATTAAGCATTAGAAAGAAGCTAAGAATTGTCAACAAAATTGAACCAAAACTTTGTCTCTGCAACCAAGAAAATAGTGATACCATCACCTTTAATGAAAGCAAACATTTATTGAAAACTATTATTGAATTCCCTCTTAAACAAGTTTTTAGTCCTCTATTTTTTAATATCAAATCTATCTCTAGCATTGTTTCATTGCACATAAGGAGGCTTTGCTGTAGTAAGTGTTAGTTGAATACAAAGGTGAGCAATGGTGAAAGGAAGTTGTCTTGTTTTCAAATAGGCCTTGTTTTTCTTGGATGCTTTTGCTTAAAATCCAACAGCCAAATGAGGAAACTGTAAAAGCAAAGAAAACATTTTTATTGCAGATGAACCCTTATACTCCTAAAATTTGTATACATACTGATTCTGGCTTGATCTCTTAAAACTTATGTTAACCTTAATGTCTCATGACAAAGACCTTAGAGGTTCTTTCATAAAATCTAAATTGGAAGAACTTTTAGGTAGATCTTATTTCATGTAGCTCTTTACATGGGTCATTGGTAAATAGTCATCTGGCTTTTGTTTTAATGCTTCCAGTGACAGAGGACTCACTACTGCAATATGAAGTAGCTCATTGCATTTGGCAGACAGTTAAGATTGTTAGGAATTTGTACTGCATCACCCCTTAAGCCTAACTAAATTCTTTATAGAAGCATAGAAACAAAATATGTTTCTTCTACGTGCCAGTCTTTTAAGTATTTGAAGAGAGTTCTTAGGTCTTCTCTGGGTGTTCACTTCAGCAAGCTATTTTCTGAGTTCTTTGGTTGTACCATATTACAGCCTGCCATAAAACATCATTGCATGTTGAGTAACCTCAGACCACAGAATTCTGAAACCGGAAATCAGGGTAGCTAACACTTATAGGGTGTTTTCTACAGATCAGTCAATGTGCTAACATTTCACACAACATTATTTCTTCTAAACCCTCACATCAACCCAGTGAGACAGGCACTGTTGTTGTCTCCATTTCAGAGACGGGGAGACTGAAGCTCTACGAGGTCACAGAGCTGGCAGTGATAGAACCCAGATCTGTCTGATTCCAGAACACATACTCTTAGAGTGTGGGATTTGATCTCATTTTATAGATGAAGAAATAGCCCCAGAGAAGTTAAGTGATCTGCCCGAAAGCACCAGCCTGCTAGTGGGTGAGCTAGGACCAGACTTCAGATATTACTCCCAGAAAGATGCTCTTTTTCACTGGGCCTCACTAAGACTGGAGGAGTCAATTGGCAGCTCTTGATCTGTTTTCCTACTTTACTTTAAAAGCTGGCTCTCCTTATTTCGGTTGAGCAAGCATTTGTTGGACTCCTACTGTGTATCTAGAACATTTATTTTAAATCAGAAGCAGGGGTGATACCAGTGTGACAAGGCTAGGTTTTTAAAACTTTGTCTACATAAAGCAGCAAGAGGAACTCTGAACACATTTTGTTGTGTTTTTGTACCAAAACAGTAGTGGTGTTTTATATTTCTTGGCAATAAAATCATTTAAAAAATAAACTGTAAATACTGGTTCAGAAGCCAATGGATGATCTTCAGCAGATTGCAGTGATCTTAGGATCCATCCTACATGCTTAATCCTAAAGTCTAAAATTCTGATTTTATTGCATTGTTTCCCCCACCTAAACCTTTGGAAGTTTTCATCGCCTGTAGGATGAAATTAAACTGGCTCTAGCCACCTTTCAGCCTTTTCATAGACTTGTGGCCCAGCTGGTCGCCTTACCCTTCCTCTGTTCTTGCTCACAGTCTTCCCTTGCTTAGATGCCTTGCACTTTCTGCTGCTCAGCCAAATCCAGCACGACTTCAAGTTCCATTCTCCCAGACCTCCGCAACCCCACAGGGAATTCCTTTCCCCCCTCTAATTCTTCTAGCAGCTACTTCTGGGGTTACTTGTGTAGTACTTAATAGGTAGAGCTGTGCACATGTAAAGATCCAGTCCTCCTAAGTTGTTAAACCCTTTGGGTTCTCTGTCCTCCCAGCAATACTCAGAACAGGGCCTTGGCCCTGGGAGACTCCCCCTAAAAATGCCTCACTTGACTTCAGGAAGGTTAATTGCGGAATTAATTTTTAAAAGTGGATGTCAATGAGTTCTCATGCTTTGCAAAGCATGAAATAAAATCCATGGTTTATTAAAATGAAATAAAAAATTGAAGGGAGCATTTTATTTTTTCTAGTGAAGGCACAAGATGCGTGAAAAATTGTGTTATAAACTGAATTTTTGTAAATCAGTATCTGCGTGAAGATCATTGTAAGCTACAGGGAGTTAGGAGATTAGTACATCTGGCTCCTTGAATCCCAGAACTATGCTTTATTTAGATTTGTCTCCCCAGCACGTCACACAATGTCTGTCACAGATTAGGTAATACATTTAGCGGAATACATTAGCCAATGAGTGCATTTTAATAAACCATCCAAGGATGAAATGAGTGCCCTTGGGGAGTGATGGGTGCCCACTCCCTTGGAGTGCCAGGCATAGTCTGGGTAACCAGTGAAGGAATGGCTGAGCTGGCTGCAACGTCCCTTCCAACCCTAGCAGTCAGTTCTATGAAATGCAGTAAGGGTATTCAGTCATATCTAAAATGTCTCGGATGGTTTACCAAAAAATCACCCCTGGATTTATCAGCTTTGCAGATCTGCATTCTCGCCTCTTAATGGATATTTGGCTTTCAGATGCAAGCTGAAAGTGGTACACTGCAGGATAAATGGTTGTACTTAGGGTGCAAGAAAATAAACCAGAAGATTGCTGGGAGGTGGGGCGGGGTAGAATAACTGTTCTTGCGTAGCTGCACGCAAGACATACATACGTGGAGTGTCTTTGGAGCCAAACATACATCGGTTCAAATTCCTGTTCCATGTACTAGTTCTGTCATTTTGGACAAGCTCCTTACTCTCTATAGGCCTCAATTTCCTCATGTTTAAGATCGGGATACTTACTCTCATGCCAGAGTGTTGTGAGGATAAAATCAGCTAATGCTGAAACACACCTAGCACAAAATCAGGAACAGCAGGCTTGCAAAGATGATGGCTATTATGCTTACACATTCCTTCGTGGTTGGCTAAACCCCAAGTGATGTACTTCCACATTCATGTGGTGGTTTGCTTGTTACAGAATGTTGTTACAGACATTATTACCTCACTTGATCTTTAAAACACCCCAGTGAGCTAGAATGAAGATAACTGTCCTTGCTTTACCAGTGAGAGAAGTCCAGGGACTTGCCTACATGATGCATTACAGACTGGTGCCTGGAATCAGTTCTTCCCGTTCTGTCTCACCTGTTGCTGCAGTGGCTAGGGTTAGATGGGGTTCCTCAGATTTCCTTCATTTATTCAGCAGATATTTATTGCAACTCAAATAGTTAGCTGGGTATTTGTCTAGCTTGAGATACAATGGTATCTTTGGTTGATTGGTATCCTTGGTTGATTATCATAGTGCTTGGTATATAGTAGCTGCTCAATAAATACTTGAGGAACGAATGAACGGATTAAAACAGTTTTCTGAGTCCTTTTGCTAGATTACCCTGATTCTGATAAAGGTTCAAGAATACTTGCAAGGGACTGGGAAGGACTGGCCGCTGGGAGAAGCCAAGGACCAATGGCTATAGAGAGAAGCTGGTGCAAGGTGAGGTAGGTTACATGCAACAACACGAACAACTCTCAGAATAGTTAAATGGCTGAGTTGAAGAAGCCAGACAAAAGAGGGTACATCCTATATGATTCCATTTCTATAAACTTACAGAAAATGCAAACTAATCTTTAGGGACAGAAAGTAGTTCAAGGGTTGCCTGGGGATGGGACCAGGTGCACGTGGGAAGCAACAACTTCTAAGAGGTGGAGGGAATGTTGAGATGATGGATGTGTTCCTTGTCTTGATTGTAGTGATGGTCTCATGGGTGTACAAACATGTTAAAACATATCAAATCACACACATTGTGTACAAATTCATTGTATCTCAATTATAACTCAATAAAGCTGAAGTGGAAGAGGAGGAGGAAGAAGAGGAGGAGCGAAAGGAGAAAAAGGAGAGGGAAAAAGAGGCAGGCTGAGTCTGCTTGGCCTCTGCAGGCACACAGGTCCAGGCCCCTAATAAGGCTGGCCTCTGTCCCTTCAGTGATCCACATCTTGGATGCTGGGTGGGGAAAGGGTTGGCCTGGGACTCAGAAGACTCTGTTCCTGGTCTTGTCACTGCCACTCACAAAGGTACGATGCTGGGCATTAGCCTGACCTCTGTCAGCCCCAACTTCCCGTGGCAACGCCGACCCTTGCCCGCCCACCCTACCTGCGGCATGGGCTGGAGGACGCCCTAAGGGTGCTTTGGGAACCATGCGTGTAAGTCAAAGGAGGGCAGCGGGGTGACGGGGAAGGTGCCCGGACCTTCTTTCTAGCCCAGTCAGGACAACAAACGCTACAACGTAACACAGAGACCCTCAGCAGCAGCTGAGTTGTTTGAGCCCTATGTCCCTTTGCTAAGTGACCCCAGTCTCCTATATTACAAGTTTGCTTGTGTCCACTGGTTATAATTTATCAAGGGCTGTATTCTAGACTCACTTAGCCACTCACTCACTGTGAGACCTTGGGCAAGTCATGTTTCCACTCTGAGCATCTGTCAAATAAGGCATTGGACTCCATGGCCCTGAGGTTTCTTCTGGCCCTTGCACTTTGAGGTTCTGTCACCTTCACGTCAAACTATTTGCCCACTTTGAAGACTCCAGATGGGGAGGGGAAGTGTGGCCAGTGGCAGCTCTCTCCTCGCTGACCCTCAGTGACTTGAGGCATCAGAGAAATGGTAACCCTTACCCCCTCCTCCTCCCCACCAACACACACATACACGTGCACACACAGGCACACACACACGTGCACACACAGACACACACACGTGCACACACAGACACACACATGTGCACACACAGGCACACACGTGCACACAAGGCACACACACATGTGCACACACAGGCACACACGTGCACACACAGACACACACATGTGCACACACAGGCACACACATGTGCACACACATACATTTGGATTTCCTCCTCCCCCAATGCTTCCTACTTCATTTTTGTTTGTTTTTGTTTTATTTTCATAAACACTAAGTTAACAGATATCCCCAGATATCTTTTTAAGTTCATGCACTCAACCTTTTAACCTTTAATAGGTTAAAAATCTTACCTTCCAGAAAGCTTGGTCATCAAAATATTTAGTTATATGAGGTCTTTTCCATATTTTGAGATTTAGGAACAAACCTGTTGAAATTCATAATTAAACGTTAAAATATTTGGAGCACAGCATTTGTTATCTGAAGATTAATCAAAATACCATATATCAACTACCAGTATCTCAACAGAAATACTTTCTCTCCCATAATGGGGAGATAGACAAATTGAAGCATTGTCATTCTGGGACCGGCTTAATTATTAATTCTGTAGACATCTAAAAGGAAGTGGCAAGAGCAATGATCTCCAAGACACTGAGATTACACTGTGCAGTGTAAGATAGCCACGGAGCTGATGCCCTCCTTGAGACAGAATAGAAAGGCTCTGTTAGACGGCACCCCGCTTAAAAGCTGATCCATTTAAAGCACAGGAGCTATCATGCAGCGTGACTTCCATTAGGCACCCCTAGAGGTCTGTCTTCTCTGGCTCCAATAAACTCCCAGCAACCTCAGCTCAAGATTCCACTTGTGTAGTTAGGAAGATAATTTATACCAACTTGTTTTTTCTTTTTTTTTTTTTAATTTTTAATTATTATTTTTTTTTAGAGACAGGGTACTGCTCTATTGCCCAGGCTGGCGTGCAGTGGCACGATCATAGCTCACTGCAACCTCGAACTCCTGGGCTCAGCCTCCTGAGTAGCTGGGACTACAGGGCTGAGCCACTGAGTTGCTTTTGCGCCTGTTCTTCCTTTTTCTTGTCCAGCCTCTTCCCAGATAGCTTGACCCCATGCATGCCCCCAACTTTGTAAAATCAGCTGAACTTCTCAGGATACATAAAATGAGAGTTTACCTTTTATATGAAGCAGGGAAATGCTCCTGGTAGATTTATCTGTATACGTTTAAGGATGCTCAGTTCCAGTATATTAATAATAAGATTAACAAAGTAGGCGTGTGCTTAGTGAAACTCATATTTTCCTTTTGTAATGCATGCCTTTAGCTGATATTGGCATGCAGGGTGCAACCGGCACACTTCATTTACGCAGAAATGGTCTCTGTTTCCTGTGTGAATTTTTCAGATAGCTGATGCTTGCTCATCACTGATGAAAATCCACCAAAAATGTATTTTCTTGTCTTATGAGACAACACTGAACATATTTAGACTTTTTAAAAAATCAGAACCATCACTAGGAACATCCACTTATGAAACATGCTATATAATCCGGCAAAGGTATACAGGTTTTGAGGGTTGTTGGCCCATTGTCTCAGCAGCTCAAGCTTTTTGTGTTCTTGTTTTATTTAAGAATTTAAGAATTTTAGGCCAGGTGTGGTGGCTCACACCTGTAATCCTAGCACTCTGGGAGGCCGAGGCTGGGGAGGATGACTTGAGCTAAGAAGTTCAAGACCAACTTGAGCAAGAGCGAGACCTGGTCTCTACCAAAAATAGAAAAATTAGCCGGGCATGGTGGCACATGCCTGTAGTCCCAGCTACTCGGGAGGCTGAGGCAGGAGGATTGCTTGAGCCCAGGAGTTTGAGGTTGCTGTGAGCTAGGCTGATGCCATGGCACTCTAGCCAGGGTAACAGAGCAAGACTCTGTCTCAAAAAAAAAAATAAATAAAAAATATTTATTTATTTTTAGTTTCCAGAAGTCTATAATTCTTAAAAGAGAATTTCACAGAGAACCCAACCAAGACCCAGAGAGAGTAAAGTGATATGTCATACAACTCATTAATGTCTGCTATGCCATTTTGTCTCTTACTTGGCATCTACCCCCTGCTTAGGGACACAATAATCGTGTCTAACCAATAAAAGATGTTTGCTTGTAGAATAAAAGTAAACAGTTCTGAACAGAATGCATGTTTTCACCTGGCATATAAGTAAGACTGGCTAATTAGTAACTCCCCAAGATGGCTTGCTGACCCATCATATTGCAGGGGCGGAAACATACTTCACTCCTTTGTTTAAAGATCTCCAGGGCCCCCCCAGCTTGCATAATGGCCTGTTCCTAGCTACATTCTTCCCTTGACCCCTGCTGCTCTCCCCTCAGTCTGTCCACATCAGCCACACTGGTCTCATTGCCAGTCCATAAACACACAAAGCATGCTTCTGCCTCAGGGCCTTTGCACTTGCTGTTCTACTTCCATGGGATGCTCTTCCCCCAAGTAAATGCACGGCATGTCTCCCTCCTCTTCATTAGAGTCTCTGCTTAAAGGCTGCCTTCTCAGATAAGTCTTCCCTGAGCAGCCCTCTACAGGAACACCCTACCCCACACTGACTGTTCCCCTAACCTGCTTTGTCTTCATAGCACCTGTCCCCATCTGACATAGGATACATTTATATGTCTATTTATTGTCAACACCCTCCGCCACTAAAATGTCGGTCCCCTGTCATCAGGAAATTCGTTCACTGCTGTGTCCTTGGTGCCTGGTTCATAGTAGATACTGAATAATATTTGTTGAATACGGGTGTCCTCAGAGAATGAAAGATAGGCTTCTGGGTGTAAGGGTTTCCCGGGCCTTCTGAACAAACTTGAGTGCAGTCACCAGCCCTGGCTTAAGAGGCTGCCATGATGTTGCTACTCACCCTACTTAGGGCCTCAGGGAACTACCTGAGGAAGTGGAAGTGCCACGTCGACAGCAGGTGACCTCTAAAAGCCTTTCCAATTCTGAAATTATGTGAGTCTATGATTTTTTAAAACCAAGGTTTGAGCTCCTTACATTATTCTGCTGGAGCTGAGGGGGTGGGTTCACGGGGAAGGGGAGGGCACATGACATCGCCCACAGGGCAGGGTGCTCTCTGGACCCGGGCGCTGTGTGGTGAGCAATGGGAAGGAAGAGCGATTTCACACTGACCTGTCAGGAAACCGGACACCAGGCTAAACACCAGACACAAGGCATTAGACGCCACGGCCATCCTGAGTGCCTCAGAATACAGCACCTGGTAGCCAGTCCTAGAAATGACAAAGCAGAGGTGGTCACTTGGCATCGAGCTGCAGAGTCATCCTGGACAAAAGAACTGTTGGTGTCAGTAGTGCCGCTGCCAGGAAGGGCCGTGAGGAGACCATCTCCCCGGCCGATATGTTCCCTGTCATTTTCCCCAAAAGCCACACAGACGTGGTGGGGGCAGGGAAAGGGGATTCCCAGATCCCCATGGATACGGAACTCGACAAGGAGTTAGAAAAGCCAGCTCTGTCGCTTACTGGCTGCACAACCCTGGGCAAGTCCCTTAGCCTCTCAGAGCCCCTAGTTTCCTCCTCAGGCAAGTAAAGGTAAAGCTCAGTTTCTCTCAGGGCAAGGTGGGTTACAGCTTGGTCTCAGGCCCATCTCCCCTGCCCACCCCCCCTGACCCCTGCCAGCCCCTTCACTGCAGCCCCACAGACTGTTGCATCAGGACAGTTTTTAAGCCTTTCTTGGTTTTTGTCTCAACTGGTGGGCAGCTGATGTTTCCATTTTAAAGACAAAGCAAAGCTCAGAGCCTGCAGCTTTGTGGGGAGGACCCTGCCTTCTATGTGACCTTGGTGATTATTTCCCCTCTCTTCACTGATACCTCATTATAAAGTGAGGGAAATAATGACAGTGCCTACACCTCATAGGATCTGGGGACAGTAAAGAGAGTTAAGAAGTGTGACCATTCTGCTGCTCATATAGTGAGTACAGGTGTCAACGGTTACCCGCCCACTGTTCATGCAGCCATCCTGCCCCTCCCAGGGGCCAGCTCCAGGCCTGTATCTTTGCCATCTTTGTGTATCTTAAATAGTGTATCTCTTAAACACTGCCAAACACAACTCAGGTTATCAGAGCTCAGGGAAATGTTTGTTGAATGAATGAAAAATTGAGGCAACTGCCCAATTCATTGATGAAATAATAAGTGATTTTTAGAAGATAGCACAAGGGACATCTGCATGACCTTGCAAAGATTTTTAAACAGGACATAAAAGAAACAAAGAGAAAGGGAACAACAATGAATTGGACTATATTAAAATTAAGAACTTTGGTTTAGCAAAAGACACCATTAAGAAAGTGAAAGGTAACCCACCAAATGGGAGAAGATATTTATAATACATATATCGGACAAAGGATATACATATACAGAATATACAAAGAATTTCTACAAATCAATAAGAAAAAGACAGAACACCACAAAAGAAAATGGGCAAAAAAACCTTGCATAGACATTTCATAAGAAAAGATATTCAAATGTCCAAAAAGCATATGACAAATGCTCCATTTCATTAGTCATTGGGGAAATCAAAATTAAAACAATACATCTAATGGCTAAGTGGCTAATCAAAAAAAAGAAAAACACCAATTATTGGAGAGTATACGGAGTAAGGGGAGCTCTTGTGCGCTACTGGTGATTAAACTCGCTCAGCTACTATGCAAAACTGTACAGCAATATCCGCTAAAGCTGAATACTGTATGCTACAGCAATTTCCACTTCTAGGCATATAATCAACAGACGTGCATTCCTATGTTCCAAAAAATAAAAAAAAGTGCTAGAATGATCATAGGAGCAATACTAGAATATTCATAATATTCCAAACTGGAAATTATCAAATATTCATCAATAATGAATAAATACATTTTGCTGTATTCACACACAATGGAGCTCTTGTTCTGTCTTTTCTTAGATTCTGTGTTTGTCTATCTGGCATTCATTTATCTCAGGGCCAAACTAATGACCCAAGCTGTACCATAGAAATTAGCAAATGCTACGTATCAAGGCTTTGTTCTCCTGGAGAGCTGGTTGTTAATCCTTTACCAGCACACCACTGATTGACTTTTTTTTTCTTTTTGGCTATAAGCCAGTGATTCTCAAACTCAAGCTTGCATGAGAATCACCTGGAGGGCCTGTTAAAACAGACTGCCAGGATTTCTAACTGAGTAGGTCTTGGGTGGGGATGGGGGTAGGACTTGGATTTCTAATAACAAGCTCCTCGGTGATGCCGGTGCTGTTGAGAACCACGGAACCACAGAACTGGGGACCTAGAAGGGTGGGTGGTGCACAGGTTAGAGGATGGCAGCCCACAAGTAGAATTTGGCCCATACAGTGTTCCTAAAAATTTTGAATTTTTTGCCAGTACTTGGGAGAGTACATGCAAAACTCTGATTTTCTAGCTTCTCTTGAAAAGCCATTAGATCTGGTGACACTGAGCCTGGGTCCCCACAGAGTGATGATGGCCTAGAGCTGAAGAGAAACTGGTGCCTGGTTTCTACAGGCATCCGAGTTTGGGACCCTGCTAGATCAACTCCCCCTTTAAAGGAGGTGGGGGTTCTGAGGCCAAAGGAGAGGGAAGGACTGGCCCAGAGTTGCCTAGCTATTAAAACAGTGGCCGACACATCACCAGAACCTGTTAACGTAGGTAGGAAAGTGACTATGAGCAAAAATAAAGTACGAAACGGGCGGTGAAAACAAACGAGATACTGAGTTAAAAAACACACTACAAGATCAGGTGTCACAAGATGTTCGCATAAGAAAAGTGAGACATGACAAAGAAAAATATGAAAGCAAACAATGTAAACAAACGAGATGCCGAGGAAAAGAACATACTGTAACAAGAACAAGATGAGGGTGGCTGCAAGTGTCACAAAATGTGACTCTCCAGTTTTCCCCCTCATCCCCTCCCCAGCAAGCTTTAGACATCACAACACGTCCAGGCCTAACCATAGAAGGTAAAAACTGCCCCACCCGACGACAGGAAGAAGACAACATCCCCATTGGTCAAGAAAGAAAAAAGGAGATGAGACAATGTCAGGCAGAAAGGCTAGACAAGAAAAAAAGGGATGACACAGAGACCCCAGTGCCACTGTCCCCTGGGACATGTGCCCACTCTTAACCCCTTTAAGAGTGAACTTTCACTTTAATAAACTTTACTGTTTGCACTTCAAAATCGTCTCTTGCTTTCAGTCTTCCATTGTGAGCAGACAAGAACTGAGGTGTTGAGGTCAATACCCGGTAACAAACCCATTACTGAGGTGCCCTGCTTCACACAAATTACCCCCCAGCCCCAAATAGAATCCTCCTCACCCCAAGCAGCTCAAGGAAGGAGGTCTTACCCACAGATATGATTCCTATAATTTGGAGCTGTGGTTGTCTCTGTCGCTGGAGCCATAAAGGGGCTGGAAGGGACCCCAGGTACTGGAAGCGGCCCCAGCCCTTCCACGATTTCTCTGCGATGCCTCCAAACAACCACCTCCTCATCACCCCCTTCAGCCATTGTAATAGCCAGATTCCAGCCGAGTGACCTTGGGCAGATAACTTCCCCAGATATCATTTCTTAGGGTTTGATGATGCCTCACAAGGTAATGTGAGGATTAAATGAGATGGCACATGTAATGTTTTTAGCACAATCCCCAGCACTTAGAAGGCAGTCAATAAACAGTAGTGATGATTATCAGTAATATTATTATCCTCACAGTATCAGTTCTCTGTCCTTGTATTGTGTGCAATTCATTCTTTCATTTTATGTAATCTATGTCCGTAAATACACAACCTCTAGGAGATAATGGCTAGGGCTCTTGTGTGTCAAACTGCTCATTGCTGTTCACTATCTGGGGGACACAGAACCCAACTCTGGTCTAGAGGCCACATTCCCACCTTCCAGTGAGACTTCGGCTACAGGGCCCCTGCCCTCCCTGGGCCTCAGGGACGGGCTATGCTTAGCATTTTCCTGCAGTAACTTATTAAGTCCTCCTACTACACGGTGCTAGCCTCTTAACCACAAGTACCCTCCCAATCACCCTGTGAGGGGAGTTACTATTGTCACCTCCACTTGCAATTGGGCGACCATGGCTGAGAAAGGTTCGGTAGCATGCCCCGTTTCAAGACCAGCCTGACTCAAGAGTACAAGGTCATTACCATGACCTAAGCCACAGGCTCCCTGGCTTGGGCTTAATTGACCAGTTCTGTCTGCATTTGTGAGGTCTCAGGCCTACGTGCCTTGCCCTGCACCTAGGCTGCCCCTTTTGGAAAGAAGAGGTGCCTGGAGAGAAGATGATTCCACACAAGGTAGGGGCTGGGCAGAATTTCCGAATAAAAAAGCCAACAGATCATTGCTGAGGCCTACTGCATGCCTGGTCTAAATGCTTGTACGTACTCCAGCTAAGGGCTCTGGGCACAGAAATGTGCCTCAGTTGGAAAGGGGTGTGTAGGGGGTAAGCCGAGTGACCCACATGGAATTCTTGGTCCAGCTGATCTGAAGCGTCAATAACACAATATAGGTGATTCCTCCAAGCAGACCCGGCAAGCTGAATGTGTAGTACACACCACAGGTATCATGAACCCCCAGCACTTGGTTAAAACACACCTGGGGACAAACATCATTATAAGAAGATTTGTAGGTGAGACCATATTCCCTACCCACCCTTTTCACACACCCTTGGCATCCAGGGCCACCAAAGGGGAATGGACACCGAGGCTTGCGTAAAGAAGCACTTCTCAGACTTGAATGTGCTCTCGCATCACCCAGGAGGGGTTGGATTTAGCAGGTGTGGAGCGGGGCCTAAGATTCTGCATTTCCAACAAGGCCCCAGGCGATGCCAACGCTGCTGGTCTACAGGCCACGCTTAGAGTAGCGAGGGTCTAGCACAGGCACTATCCACGTTTTGGACTGAGAATGCTTTGTGTGGGAGGCTGACCTGTGCACTGTAGGATGTTTAGCAGCTTCCCTGGCCTCTAACCACTAGATGCTAGTAGCAGCCCCCACCCAGTGTGTCAGCCAAGAATGTCTCCAGACATTGTCAAATCTCCCCTTGGGGCAATTGAGACCTGGTGGTTTAGTCCAAATTTAAGTGCAGTCCCAAAGAGAGCGTGACTGCTGGGAAGAAAAGCATCTGACCACACCTCAGATTCCCATCAGGGCTCCTTCAACCTCATCACTCAGCCTCCCAGATAGCCAGGAGCCAACAGATTGGGATACAAAGGCAAATTTGATCAGGCTAGTTCCCTCCTTAGCATCCCAGTTGTCTTCAGAATGAAAATCCAGACTCCTCCACTGGCCCAGGAGGTATGCCTGTGCACCTCCCTTCTCCCAAGGCTCTGGTTCCACCACCTCCCCGGTGTGAACCCTGCACGTCTTTCTGTTCCTTGGTTGGGCCACATGCTCTTCACACCACTGAAGAAGCGGCCCCACTGAGTAAGAATAAAGCAGATATTCAGGAAAAGCAAAAAAGGAAGTAAAGCAGGGACTTTTTGGGCTCCACACAACACTCTAGTCCCTGGTGCCAGCCTTCCCTGGGTTCGTTGTCCTTAGGTTCTGTGACTCCCTGATAGCCTTATAACAAATTCCCCCTTCTGCGTGAGCAAACTTGAGTGGGGTCTGTTACTTGCTCCCAGCATCCTAACAAATGCACCATCCAACCAGGGTGGGTCCCTCGCCCGGGCTTTGAAGCTAACATAAGGAAGTGCCAACACCTGCCTGGTGCTGCCCGTGGTATCGCATAATGGCCCACCGGGGCCCCAGCGTCCTGCTGGTCTAAGCCAAGGCACAGAGTACTGACTAGTTGTCCAGTTTCTTACCGGCAGGCACTCTGCTCCCGCGCTGGAGATGAGCCCAGCCACAAAGCCCAGCACCATAGCGAGCCAGGGAGAAGAGATCAGGTGACACGAGGCACCCACTGCCACGCCTCCTGCCAGCACCGCATTGTGGATATGAGTCTGCAAGGAAATAGCTCGTGGGAGAATGCAGTGAGTCCCAGAGAGGACAGCATCTTGCCGCATCTTGCCGAAAGTTACTGCACCCGCTGAGAGCAAGGCAGCTCTGGAATGTCCTCAATGCTTCGCCAATCCCGAAACCACCCCTCCCCTCTGGTGGGGGTTACGTGAGCTTCATCAATGGGCTGACTCGCGCTTCATCAATGGGCTGACTCGCTCCCGCCTCTCAGGCTTGGGGTGCAGTCACCCTGATGGGGAAGCGTTCAGGGAATCAGCTGGAAAGTGCAGGTACTCGGCATCCTAACCACCCTCACACTCAGTAGCCATGTGTCCTTGGGCACTGGGAAGAAGGAGATTTTGACTCTACCTACTTCCCAAGGCCACAGTAAGGATTAAGTGAGTTACCACATACAAAACTTTTAGCCCAGTGGCTGGCACAGAACATGAACAAATTCCCAATAAACATAAGTTATTATTATTGTTTTTATTATTATTATTGGCTCCTTGGTACCTATGTCACCCTGTGTGACCCAGTTCCAATAAGCTGGGCCTTGTTCCTGGGTCATGTCTCCGACGCCCCGGAATGGGAGCCTTCCCTCGCTCTTATCTGACACCCTTGCCTCCAACCAGGCCTTGGATCTCTGGGCCCTGGGCCCAGCTCCTGGGCTTCTCTGACCTGATGCCCACTCCTGCCTCACTGGGTGTCCCCACCTTGTCTGCTCCTAGACTTCCTGCCACCAGGGAGCTCACCTGTGGGGACACTTGCCTTCCCTTAGTGCTGGAATTACACTGAACCTGCTGTGTGTGGCCACATTCTCTCCACTCCAGGTCCCCTGTCCAGACTTTCCCCAGCACCTCTGGCTGCCTGACCTGTGGCCCAATCGTCACGGAACTTGCTCTGTGTTTGGGTCTCTCTTCTCACCCAGCTCTCCCCACAAAACTCACACACAGCATCACCCCACTATATATATATATTCCCAATATCCCTGTCCCCTGCTATATTAATGATAGCGACTGGCTGGGTGCAGTGGCTCACACCTGTAATCCCAGCACTTTAGGAAGCTAAGGGGAGAGGACTGCTTGAAGACAGAAGTTTGAGAGCAGCCTGGGCAACATAGGGAGACCTCATCTCTACTAAAAAGAATTAGCTGGGTGTGGTGGTGCATGCCTGTAACTTCAGCTACTCAGGAGACTGAGGCAGGAGGATTGCTTGAACCCAGGGATTTGAGGCTGCAGTGAGCTGTGATCATGCCACTACACTCCAGCCTGGGCAGCAGAGTGAGACCCTGTCTCTAAAAACAAAACAAATAATAGCAGCTAATGTTTGCCCAGAACTTACTCCTCATTAAGATTTTACATGCATTGTCGCTGAATTCCCACTTTACTGATAAGGCAGTCGAGGCTCAAAAAGTCCAAGTGGCCTTAACCCAGGTCACATGACTAATGCAACACACTTCTTTACCTTTTTTTTTTTTTTTTTTTCCAGACAGAGTCTCACTTTGTTGCCCAGGCTAGAGTGAGTGCCGTGGCATCAGCCTACCTCACAGCAACCTCAAACTCCTGGGCTCAAGCAATCCTTCTGCCTCAGCCTCCCAAGTAGCTGAGACTACAGGCATGTGCCACCATGCCCGGCTAATTTTTTCTATATGTATTAGTTGGCCAAATTTCTTTCTATTTTTAGTAGAGACGGGGTCTTGCTCTTGCTCAGGCTGGTTTCAAACTCCTGACCTCGAGCAGTCCGCCCGCCTTGGCCTCCCAGAGTGCTAGGATTACAGGTGTGAGCCACTGCGCCCGGCCACTTCTTTACTTCTGATTCTGATAATTCCATCCTTGAAATATCTTGGGGAATAGACTATTCTAACCTATTGCTGCCGACTCTTGCTCACGAGAGAGCTTCAGGAACTAGCACAAACGAGGTTCAAACTTAGGTCTGTTTGATGTCCACACCGATGGACCTAATCACTCTGTGCAGGGAGCCTTTGATCGTTTCAGTCTGCTGAGTCCCAGAGCCCATTCTGGCCACGCAGCATTCTTCCTAATTCCCCATGACATTGCAGACGAGGCCTTGTCACCATGACCCAGCATGCCCTTTCCCAACATAGGGGGCTGCCACTGGAGTGGGAGAGGGGTGCGGACACGTGTTACCCAAGTGCCGTCCCAGGGACAGCCCCCTTCTCACCATGTTGATCTTCCCTTGGGGGTGAGCCCAGGCAGACACTGAGGTGGCTGTCACCGTGCTGACCGCCAGGGCGTAGTAGGTGTTGAATACGGCATTCTTCCTTTCATTTGGATCATTCAGCAGAGCACAGTTGAAACTTGGCCAGAATGTCCACAAGAAGAGGGTGCCTGGGGGCCAGAGAGGGACATTGGCCAGGACCACACTCCTCCTCCAAAGGCCTGACCTCCAGGGGCTTCAGATGAGGAGACTCCTAGAGCTATCGCGTCTCCACTCTGCCACTTTCTAGCTATCGTCAGCTACATGGGCGAGTCACGTCTCCTCTCCAAATTCTCAAGTTGGCAGAGACCAGCTAAGATACTTTACAGGCAGGGAAACTAAGGCCCAGAGAGATGACATCTAATACAAACTGCAGACCCCCTGAACCCAGTTTGGGATGGCCAAATGCTTATTTTAAAAAAAAAAATTAATGTGCTGCTTTAATTTGGCTCTACAGTCTGATGATACTCCTTTGCCTGCTATCAAGCTGGCTGCCTGATTTCCCCTAGGCCCCTCCTGCAGTCTAAGTTCATCATTTTCACCACAGCTTTTCAAACTGCAACTTTGTTACTATTCCCACCCTAGTGCCTTTCTCCACTCCCAGGCCCTATCTCTTCACCTGCCCAATTCCCTCCTCTCAGTTGAAGAAAACAGGATTGGACAAATTTATTTAAACTCAAGCATAGCGAGTCTTTTCTCTCTATTGAATATTAACGAAGAGAGGTCCCTGGAAAGGAATGCTTAATTCGAAGGTATGAATTTAACAAACACTACTAGAAGAAATGAGTCATTATGACAGACACCCGGGGTAAGTTGGCAAAGGAGAGAGATTTTTCAGCTGAGCCTTTTCTGAGCCTTTCTGCTTAGCCCAAGTATGAGACCACCCACGCCACCTCGTCCTTACCCAGCATGGCAAACAAACTGGGGCTTGTTGCCGTCCGATCTTTCTCCTGAATTCCACTGGGCAGGCCCCTTGAGAGGCAATAGGCCACAGTCAGCCCGAAATAGGCCGAAAACACGTAGATGTGCATCATGTTTGAGTGATCATCTATCTGCAACAAAACCCAGCAGGAGCAATGAGTGTCAGCATCCTCTGCCCACAGGCAAACCCTCATGTTTCGTGGAGAAAGTTCGAAGCTTCACGTAGGAGGTGTGACTTGAAGCCATGAGACTGGTGTTCAGACCTTACCCAGCCCAGCCCATCCAGCCTTCTTCCTTCAGAGGAGCCCATGAGTAGCTGTGTTTTATCCCAGGAAGGTACTGGCTGGCCTTTGGCAGTAGCTCTTACATGCTTTGGGCTGAGATCACTTAGTTGGGGCAAAAAGCCGCAGGAACACACAGCCCACTGCTTCCTACTTCTCCGTGGAATTTCAGCTCTGCATGGAATGACAGGTGATGTGAACTTGCAACATGACGCAAGCAGCCAGACTTCAATATAATATAATATTGAACTAAAATCTTTAGTAAATTCTAGATAGTTGCTAATTTTCCTTCATGAACATCAAATTTAGTAATCCTTAATAATTTATTTAGCGGGCTGCCTGTAAATGCTATCAGCAGTGCCTTCCAAAAATATCCAGAATCGACAGAATTGGTACCACCACTCCCCACAGACTCCACCTTGATTTAAGCCGCCATCACTGCTACCCCAAATCACCACAATAATCTCCTAGCTGGGTACCCCGTTCCCGCCCTTGTCTTCCTACTGACTATTCTCACGAAGCAGCTCGAGTGGCCATGTTAAAATGTAAGTCAGATCATGTCATTGCTCTGCTCAGAATCCTCCAGTGGCTCCCATCTCACTGAAAGTCAAAGTCTGCATACTTGCTATCCAGCGGTCCCCAACCTTTTTGGCATCAGGGGCTGGTTTCATGGAAGACAATTTTTCCTCGGACAGGTTGGGGTGGGAGGTAGAGCTCAGGTGGTGACTGGAGCGATGGAGCAGCTGGGAGTATGCTCACCCGCCACTCACCTCCTGCTGTGTCTCCCAGCCCTCACTGTTCCTAAGTTTCATGGAAGACAATTTGTCCACAGATGGGAGGAGGAACTGCGGAGCTCTGTGGCCCGGTCCCTAACAGGCCACAGACCGGTACCAGTCCATGGCCTGGGTATTGGGGACCACAGACCTATAGGACCCTCCAGGACTGCTCGCTCCCTGACCTCTCTGAGGTCACCTCCTAGTCTAGGTGTTCCCTCTTCATTCATCTGCCTGGAATGCTCTTACGCCCAGCAGAAGCATAAGGAGGGCAGGGTGGAGGGGGTGGTCCACCCTGGGTGCAAGCAATAAGGAGTGTTCTCTGTAGAGGATTTCAAACAATTCTAAAGCCAATTAAATGCCTGTCTGCTTTTAATTAGTGCCATGTGTCAACAGTTCTTAACAGCATTGGTGATAAAAACTCATCTTGGCAGGTGCAGACCCCTCCTGCCACCCTGCCATTAGTTTGCCAGCCGCTCAGGTACCCACGTGGCTTGTGCACGCGCTTCCTTCAGGTCTGAGCTCAGAAATCACTCGGTGAAGCCTTCCCTGGCCACCCTATCTACGCTATCTGTGATAATATTTTATCCCCCCACCCGAGGCTTCATGTCTCCTTTCTCCATTTTATTTTTTCTCGGTGGTACTTATCACTATCTAACATGTTCTATTTTTTGCCTATTTTATTGTTTATTGGCAGTCTTTCCTTCTGAAATAGAAGTTCCATGACAGTTGTATTTTTCCACCACCACAGGAGTGCCTGGTACATGACAGGTACCAAATAGTAAATATTTGTGAAATGAAAGAATGATGGTAATGAGCCCTGCGTCATATGCAAAGATGAAAGTCTATGCAGTTCTCTTATAAAAACCAAAAAGAGGGCTTGCATTGTTAATCTCTTCGAGCTCCACCAGGAGTTCAGGAACCACACTTGGAGAGGCTTGGAACGCCCATTTCTTGAGTTGCCTCGACTGAAATGGCTCCGGCCCCTGGCTCTGGTTCTCCCTGAGCTCTCCCATTGAACAAACCCAGCCTGAACTGAAGTTTTGAAGACAGTGAACTCTCAAAATCAGAGCTAAGCCTTCCCCTAGACCAGTTAAATTAGCAAGTTGAAACTGCAGAGAAGAGAGGAGATGGCATTGTATTAATGCAGTCTTTTAAAACAAACAACCCATTATAAAGACCATAATAAAGTAGGAAAAGGATTATGATGCACCGTTCACAGTGAGTGTTCTATCTCTGAAATTTACCCTCTCTTGACAGCCATGTTTTTATTGTGCGAAGTATCTTCCATGCCAGCTGTAGCTGGTTGGATCAGAGTAGATAAATGACCCAGTGGACTGATCAGATTCTCTCGCCCTGGACCAAGGAATTGAGACTGGGAAAGTGTTATCTCCTGCAGGATCTGGGACATAGGAATGCAGAAATAAATGTGGGTGTGTGGGTAATTTTTCACTAACGAGAAATTAGATGTACAAAGAGGCACGAAGCCAATGGCTGGAGAGCATGGGCTACCTAAGGTCACAAAGTCTTCCCACATCCAGTTCCTCCTGGCTGTACCTCCTGTCCTGGGTCTGGCTGTACCTCCTGTCCTGGGTGGTCCTTGTACTAAATTCCCCTCATTCTGCCTAACAAAGCTCTAATGATATTTTCTTCCTGGGAACCAAGGAGTTGTAATTAATCCTCATATAAAGCAGAGAGAAAAAGCAGAAAATGAAAGTGTGCCTACATGAATCCATGAGCCCACAGTGATATAAATAAATAAACAGATGAATGATAAATGGAGCAGTGCAAGCTCTTCCTTGCAGAAGAATGCCAGCTCATGGATGTGGAAGGGAAGATGGAAACAGAAAACCAGTATTGGCAATCATTGTGGTACTGATTGGTCCAAGCAAGAACCTATGGATGCTAAAACTAGTGGATGAAAGTTTGATGAGAAAAAGGATTTTTATAGGAAATTATCTCCTCCCAAAATGTTTATTAATTATAAAGGGGAGAATAACTTTACAGTGGAAGATCCTGGCAGACACTATCTTAGCCAAGTGATCAAAGCTAACATGCCTAGGAATGGGACACAGGGACAGCATGTCTCCTGACACGGTGTACCAGGAAGGACACACATGACTTTCGTGGAATTCTTGCCAAGCATGCATACCCGCGTTTTTGAGGAAACAGTAGACAAGCCCACATTCTACAAAATAACTGGTTTGTAACTTCAAAGCATGTCAAGGCCATGAAAGATAAGGAAAGATGAAGAAACTGTTCCACATATGGATGGCGTTTAACACATTAACTGCCACGAGAGTTGTATTTAACTCACTTTGGTTTTGATCCCGGGACCACGTGAAGCATATATAAAATCTTACTTGTTGATGTCCTTATTGTTTTCAAACTCCTGACCTCAAGCAATCCGCCTGCCTTGGCCTCTCAGAGTGCTTGGATGTTACAATTAATTGTTACACCTTATTGTTACAATTAATATTGACAATTTAATTCTGAAAACGTGGATTAAGTGGACGTCAATACATTTTATTTTTCTATTTATGTTTATTTTTAAATTACACTCGAAGTTTTTATTCTATTTTTGTAATAAAATGCTGCAGCCACAAGGAAACATTTCTGGGTTGTTTTTTTTTGTGTGTGTGTGTGGCAGTCAACATGTTAAGAAGACATGAGAGCTAAATGCAAGGTGTGACCCCAGACCAGAAAAAAAATTTTTTTTCTTTATACTAGACAGGATGCTGTTGAGACAATTAGTAAAATTTGAGTAATCATGTTGTAGCAATGTTAATTTCTCAATTGTGTTAACTGAACAATGGTTATGTAAGAGAATGTCCCTATTTTTAGGAAATCTACACTGAAGTATTTAGGAGTTAAAGTAGTATATACAAATAAATGAACAGAATCAAAAATTAAAAAATAATAAGAACTTCCAATATTTCCTTTTAGACCATCATTCTTTTTTCCCCCCAAATAATCCCCAATTCTCTTGAAGAAGACGCCATCTCAGTCTCCCCTCCTTGCTCCTGGTCACCGTGGCTGTCAGCACCTGCCCTTCAGCCTTTCTCTCCATCACTCTTCCCGAGCATCGTCTCGGTCCACCCAGCTCCTCCCCTCTCAGCCCCTTGACCTCTCTCTTCTTATATCTTTCCCTCCATAACATTTCTGCCATCCATATCCTCTGTCAAACCTTAAACCTTGTCATGACCTATAACTGTGCTGCTTCCAGAAACTCAGTTGCAAGCATCCCACCAATAGCACCACCACCTCCCGTCTGTCTGGCTCACTTCTTTACATCTCCCCGGTTCAATAATTCCAATCAACTGAGCCCAATAGCAATGGCGGGGATGAAAATAACAGCCTGCCATGGCACCTACCCTGGGCCAGGCACTGTGCCACACACTTTATATATGTTAACTTGTTCAAGCCTCACACCAGCCCTACGAAGTGGGTATTATTGTTATTAATAATACTGTGTGGTGCTCTAGGGCTCCATCCTCAGACTCTACATCTCTGCTGATACCCAGCCCTAGGTGATCTCCTTGGGCCTCCTGGCTTTACCCACCATCTCTACCCTAACAACTCCCAAATTGACATCCCTGGCCCCACCTTTCCACTCAGCTTCAGACTTGTACGTTTCCATGCAGTGTCTCTACCGGGATGCTTCACACACGTCTGTAGCCCTCGCCTCAACCCTAACCCGACCACAGTCCGTGGAACGCCCATTTTTGAGTTGCTCGACTGAAATGGCTCTGGCCCCTGGCTCTGGTTCTCCGAGCTCTCCCATTGAACAAACCCAGCCTGAACTGAAGTTTTGAAGACAGTGAACTCTCAAAATCAGAGCTAAGCCTTCCCTAGACCAGTTAAATTAGCAAGTTGAAACTGCAGAGAAGAGAGGAGATGATTGTATTAATGCAGTCTTTTAAACAACCCATTATAAAGACCATAATAAAGTAAGGAAAAGGAGTTTATGATGCCACTAAAAAAAAAAATTAATGTGCTGCTTTAATTTGGCTCTACAGTCTGATGATACTCCTTTGCCTGCTATCAAGCTGGCTGCCTGATTTCCCCTAGGCCCCTCCTGCAGTCTAAGTTCATCATTTTCACCACAGCTTTTCAAACTGCAACTTTGTTACTATTCCCACCCTAGTGCCTTTCTCCACTCCCAGGCCCTATCTCTTCACCTGCCCAATTCCCTCCTCTCAGTTGAAGAAAACAGGATTGGACAAATTTATTTAAACTCAAGCATAGCGAGTCTTTTCTCTCTATTGAATATTAACGAAGAGAGGTCCCTGGAAAGGAATGCTTAATTCGAAGGTATGAATTTAACAAACACTACTAGAAGAAATGAGTCATTATGACAGACACCCGGGGTAAGTTGGCAAAGGAGAGAGATTTTTCAGCTGAGCCTTTTCTGAGCCTTTCTGCTTAGCCCAAGTATGAGACCACCCACGCCACCTCGTCCTTACCCAGCATGGCAAACAAACTGGGGCTTGTTGCCGTCCGATCTTTCTCCTGAATTCCACTGGGCAGGCCCCTTGAGAGGCAATAGGCCACAGTCAGCCCGAAATAGGCCGAAAACACGTAGATGTGCATCATGTTTGAGTGATCATCTATCTGCAACAAAACCCAGCAGGAGCAATGAGTGTCAGCATCCTCTGCCCACAGGCAAACCCTCATGTTTCGTGGAGAAAGTTCGAAGCTTCACGTAGGAGGTGTGACTTGAAGCCATGAGACTGGTGTTCAGACCTTACCCAGCCCAGCCCATCCAGCCTTCTTCCTTCAGAGGAGCCCATGAGTAGCTGTGTTTTATCCCAGGAAGGTACTGGCTGGCCTTTGGCAGTAGCTCTTACATGCTTTGGGCTGAGATCACTTAGTTGGGGCAAAAAGCCGCAGGAACACACAGCCCACTGCTTCCTACTTCTCCGTGGAATTTCAGCTCTGCATGGAATGACAGGTGATGTGAACTTGCAACATGAAGCAAGCAGCCAGACTTCAATATAATATAATATTGAACTAAAATCTTTAGTAAATTCTAGATAGGTGCTAATTTTGCTTCATGAACATCAAATTTAGTAATCCTTAATAATTTATTTAGCGGGCTGCCTGTAAATGCTATCAGCAGTGCCTTCCAAAAATATCCAGAATCGACAGAATTGGTACCACCACTCCCCACAGACTCCACCTTGATTTAAGCCGCCATCACTGCTACCCCAAATCACCACAATAATCTCCTAGCTGGGTACCCCGTTCCCGCCCTTGTCTTCCTACTGACTATTCTCACGAAGCAGCTCGAGTGACCATGTTAAAATGTAAGTCAGATCATGTCATTGCTCTGCTCAGAATCCTCCAGTGGCTCCCATCTCACTGAAAGTCAAAGTCTGCATACTTGCTATCCAGCGGTCCCCAACCTTTTTGGCATCAGGGGCTGGTTTCATGGAAGACAATTTTTCCGCGGACAGGTTGGGGTGGGAGGTGGAGCTCAGGCGGTGACTGGAGCGATGGAGCAGCTGGGAGTATGCTCACCCACCACTCACCTCCTGCTGTGTCTCCCAGCCCTCACTGTTCCTAAGTTTCATGGAAGACAATTTGTCCACAGATGGGAGGAGGAACTGCGGAGCTCTGTGGCCCGGTCCCTAACAGGCCACAGACCGGTACCAGTCCATGGCCTGGGTATTGGGGACCACAGACCTATAGGACCCTCCAGGACTGCTCGCTCCCTGACCTCTCTGAGGTCACCTCCTAGTCTAGGTGTTCCCTCCTCATTCATCTGCCTGGAATGCTCTTACGCCCAGCAGAAGCATAAGGAGGGCAGGGTGGAGGGGGTGGTCCACCCTGGGTGCAAGCAATAAGAAGTGTTCTCTGTAGAGGATTTCAAACAATTCTAAAGCCAATTAAATGCCTGTCTGCTTTTAATTAGTGCCATGTGTCAACAGTTCTTAACAGCATTGGTGATAAAAACTCATCTTGGCAGGTGCAGACCCCTCCTGCCACCCTGCCATTAGTTTGCCACGGCGCTCAGGTACCCACGTGGCTTGTGCACGCGCTTCCTTCAGGTCTGAGCTCAGAAATCACTCGGTGAAGCCTTCCCTGGCCACCCTATCTACGCTATCTGTGATAATATTTTATCCCCCCACCCGAGGCTTCATGTCTCCTTTCTCCATTTTATTTTTTCTCGGTGGTACTTATCACTATCTAACATGTTCTATTTTTTGCCTATTTTATTGTTTATTGGCAGTCTTTCCTTCTGAAATAGAAGTTCCATGACAGTTGTATTTTTCCACCACAGGAGTGCCTGGTACATGACAGGTACCAAATAGTAAATATTTGTGAAATGAAAGAATGATGGTAATGAGCCCTGCGTCATATGCAAAGATGAAAGTCTATGCAGTTCTCTTATAAAAACCAAAAAGAGGGCTTGCACTGTTAATCTCTTCGAGCTCCACCAGGAGTTCAGGAACCACACTTGGAGAGGCTTGGAACGCCCATTTCTTGAGTTGCCTCGACTGAAATGGCTCCGGCCCCTGGCTCTGGTTCTCCCTGAGCTCTCCCATTGAACAAACCCAGCCTGAACTGAAGTTTTGAGACAGTGAACTCTCAAAATCAGAGCTAAGCCTTCCCCTAGACCAGTTAAATTAGCAAGTTGAAACTGCAGAGAAGAGAGGAGATGGCATTGTATTAATGCAGTCTTTTAAAACAAACAACCCATTATAAAGACCATAATAAAGTAGGAAAAGGATTATGATGCACCGTTCACAGTGAGTGTTCTATCTCTGACATTTACCCTCTCTTGACAGCCATGTTTTTATTGTGCGAAGTATCTTCCATGCCAGCTGTAGCTGGTTGGATCAGAGTAGATAAATGACCCAGTGGACTGATCAGATTCTCTCTCCCTGGACCAAGGAATTGAGACTGGGAAAGTGTTATCTCCTGCAGGATCTGGGACATAGGAATGCAGAAATAAATGTGGGTATGTGGGTAATTTTTCACTAACGAGAAATTAGATGTACAAAGAGGCACGAAGCCAATGGCTGGAGAGCATGGGCTACCTAAGGTCACAAAGTCTTCCCACATCCAGTTCCTCCTGGCTGTACCTCCTGTCCTGGGTCTGGCTGTACCTCCTGTCCTGGGTGGTCCTTGTACTAAATTCCCCTCATTCTGCCTAACAAAGCTCTAATGATATTTTCTTCCTGGGAACCAAGGAGTTGTAATTAATCCTCATATAAAGCAGAGAGAAAAAGCAGAAAATGAAAGTGTGCCTACATGAATCCATGAGCCCACAGTGATATAAATAAATAAACAGATGAATGATAAATGGAGCAGTGCAAGCTCTTCCTTGCAGAAGAATGCCAGCTCATGGATGTGGAAGGGAAGATGGAAACAGAAAACCAGTATTGGCAATCATTGTGGTACTGATTGGTCCAAGCAAGAACCTATGGATGCTAAAACTAGTGGATGAAAGTTTGATGAGAAAAAGGATTTTTATAGGAAATTATCTCCTCCCAAAATGTTTATTAATTATAAAGGGGAGAATAACTTTACAGTGGAAGATCCTGGCAGACACTATCTTAGCCAAGTGATCAAAGCTAACATGCCTAGGAATGGGACACAGGGACAGCATGTCTCCTGACACGGTGTACCAGGAAGGACACACATGACTTTCGTGGAATTCTTGCCAAGCATGCATACCCGCGTTTTTGAGGAAACAGTAGACAAGCCCACATTCTACAAAATAACTGGCTTGTAACTTCAAAGCATGTCAAGGCCATGAAAGATAAGGAAAGATGAAGAAACTGTTCCACATATGGATGGCGTTTAACACATTAACTGCCACGAGAGTTGTATTTAACTCACTTTGGTTTTGATCCCGGGACCACGTGAAGCATATATAAAATCTTACTTGTTGATGTCCTTATTGTTTTCAAACTCCTGACCTCAAGCAATCCGCCTGCCTTGGCCTCTCAGAGTGCTTGGATGTTACAATTAATTGTTACACCTTATTGTTACAATTAATATTGACAATTTAATTCTGAAAACGTGGATTAAGTGGACGTCAATACATTTTATTTTTCTATTTATGTTTATTTTTAAATTACACTCGAAGTTTTTATTCTATTTTTGTAATAAAATGCTGCAGCCACAAGGAAACATTTCTGGGTTGTTTTTTTTTGTGTGTGTGTGTGGCAGTCAACATGTTAAGAAGACATGAGAGCTAAATGCAAGGTGTGACCCCAGACCAGAAAAAAAATTTTTTTTCTTTATACTAGACAGGATGCTGTTGAGACAATTAGTAAAATTTGAGTAATCATGTTGTAGCAATGTTAATTTCTCAATTGTGTTAACTGAACAATGGTTATGTAAGAGAATGTCCCTATTTTTAGGAAATCTACACTGAAGTATTTAGGAGTTAAAGTAGTATATACAAATAAATGAACAGAATCAAAAATTAAAAAATAATAAGAACTTCCAATATTTCCTTTTAGACCATCATTCTTTTTTCCCCCCAAATAATCCCCAATTCTCTTGAAGAAGACGCCATCGCAGTCTCCCCTCCTTGCTCCTGGTCACCGTGGCTGCCAGCACCTGCCCTTCAGCCTTTCTCTCCATCACTCTTCCCGAGCATCGTCTCGGTCCACCCAGCTCCTCCCCTCTCAGCCCCTTGACCTCTCTCTTCTTATATCTTTCCCTCCATAACATTTCTGCCATCCATATCCTCTGTCAAACCTTAAACCTTGTCATGACCTATAACTGTGCTGCTTCCAGAAACTCAGTTGCAAGCATCCCACCAATAGCACCACCACCTCCCGTCTGTCTGGCTCACTTCTTTACATCTCCCCGGTTCAATAATTCCAATCAACTGAGCCCAATAGCAATGGCGGGGATGAAAATAACAGCCTGCCATGGCACCTACCCTGGGCCAGGCACTGTGCCACACACTTTATATATGTTAACTTGTTCAAGCCTCACACCAGCCCTACGAAGTGGGTATTATTGTTATTAATAATACTGTGTGGTGCTCTAGGGCTCCATCCTCAGACTCTACATCTGCTGATACCCACCCCTAGGTGATCTCCTTGGGCCTCCTGGCTTTACCCACCATCTCTACCCTAACAACTCCCAAATTGACATCCCTGGCCCCACCTTTCCACTCAGCTTCAGACTTGTACGTTTCCATGCAGTGTCTCTACCGGGATGCTTCACACACGTCTGTAGCCCTCGCCTCAACCCTAACCCGACCACAGTCAACGCCGAACCCTGGCTCCTCCCTCCCAGATCTACTCCACCCCGCAATGCTCTCTGTCTCTGGAAACAGCATCATCATTCTCCCAGTTGCTCCAGATCAAAACCCTGGGGTCATCATGACCCTTCTCTGTGTCTCACACCCCACTGTGCAGTCCGTCAGCAAATCCTGCCCATTCTGCCCTCGGAATGTAGCCAGGATCCGCCTCCTCCCAGCTCCCCTACAGCTACTGTCCCAGTCCAAGGCCGGATTATTGCGAGAGGCGCCTCTTTCGTTTCACCTGCTTCCTCCCTTGCCCCTTCAGCAGCCAGAGTTCTCTTAAAATGCAAGTCAAACCATAGCTCTCCTCTGCCCCAAACGCCCCAGTGCTCCCTGTGTTTCTCAGAGTAAAATCCAAAGTCCTTACTCTGGGATATTGAGGCATAGTGAAGAGGCTTCATGCTTTTTTTTTTTTTTTTGTAAACATGCATCATCTCATGTAATTAATTCAATTACTTCCCCAAACCCTATGTTGTAGTACTGTTATCCTCATATTACAGAGGAAGAAACTGAAGCTCTAGGAGGTTAATTGCCCAGAGTCACATGGGGGTCTATGGCAGAGCTGGGATACACAGCCCAGACTTTGACTCCAAGTCCTGTGCTCTTTCTCCTAAACCAGGCTGGGACTCTGGGTTCTCCCATGGGCCCTGTCAGTATCTTTTTTTTTTTTTTTGAGACAGAGTCTCACTTTGTTGCCCAGGCTAGAGTGAGTGCCATGGCGTCAGCCTAGCTCACAGCAACCTCAAACTCCTGGGCTCAAGCAATCCTCCTGTCTCAGCCTCCCAAGTAGCTGGGACTACAGGCATGCGCCACCATGCCCGGCTAATTTTTTCTATATGTATTAGTTGGCCAATTCATTTGTTTCTATTTATAGTAGAGACGGGGGTCTCACTCTTGCTCAGGCTGGTTTCGAACTCCTGACCTTGAGCAATCCTCCCGCCTCGGCCTCCCAGAGTGCTAGGATTACAGGCGTGAGCCACCTCGCCCGGCCCCTGTCAGTATCTTGCTGTGTGATCTTGGGCAGTCCCTTCCCCTCTCTGGGCATCAGCTTTCTCCCGTGTGAGAGGGGGAGGTCAGTATCATCACTCAGGGTCAGGGTGATGGCAGAGGAGCTGGGAGAGCCATGTGGACTGGCCTCACTTTCACAGATGGCTTCAAACTTAGACTTGACCATCTCTCCCAGTGAGATCGCGTGTGCAGTTACTGACACACGCTGGTCTGAAAGAAGACACTGGCCATACAGCTCGCTGCGACCACTGCTGGTGGGGCCCTGGAAACTGATTCTCTTTTTATATAACACATAATTATCCTGTGAACAGCACAATCCTACAGGATCACATTGTGGAAGTTAAAGGCATTAGTTGACTGTATTTAAACATTTGGCACAAACCACACTTTTGTAACTCCCTTTCAGCCTGTATTTACATTTTTTAAACCCCAGAAGCCTCATCAAATGGAGGCAGGGCCCCCATCCACCCTCTCGCCCCTCTCCCCCAAGGCCCCTTCTCACCGCACCGCGACTCACATTGAGGAAGCGCCTGTTGACCATCCTCATGGTGCTGAAGGCTGTCACCTCCAGCGGCACCATCACCAACAGCTGCAACAAATTAGCCTTCCCCAGGATGGCTCCCAGCGAGATCAGCACCGACACGGCGCTCATGGTGGCCAGCTGGGCTCTGGTGGAGAGAAGGAGCCAGGGTGACTGAGCAGGAAAGATGCCGCTCATTCATTTATTCAACAAACACTGCTGGGCACCTACTCTCTGCCTGCCACTATTCCAGGCCCAGAGGATGCAGGGAGGCTGATGCTGCAGTCCAGAGTTTCCTTTGTCTCTTCCCCATCAAGGTGTCCTCTGTGCTCTGAGAGATTGATCTGCACACACTGGTCGCCCTGAGGTTGCTCCCAGGTGAGGTAAGGAGGCAGGCTGTTCCCTGGACCCCTTTGTGGTATCTGACCCCTGGGATTCTGCCCACGGATTCTTCTCTTCTGCCGTCATCACTCACGGATGCTCGATAGAGGGCGCTCTTCACCCGCTGGCCCACCCATGCAGCCACCCCATCCTCAACCAGGGCCTCTGTCTCCCCGCTCCCCCTCGGGACAGTGGAAAGAGCCTGGGTTTGGAAGTAGGACAAGCCTGGCTTCCAGTACCGGCTTCGCCACTTGAGCAGCTATTTGATCTTACTGAGCCTGTTTCTCTATCTGTAAAATAAGAATAATACTTATCCCCTGGTAGTGCAGTGGGCATTGAAGGAATATTCTTCCTATAGGTGTATCTAGCACCAAAACTGGCACCAAGAACTAAGTGATGCATAGAGGTTGGCATTATTAACACTGTTACTGGGTCCTTCCTTCCCTTGACAAATGAGCTCAGTGTGGGGCTTCAGGAGGAGCAAACAACATCTGTCCTCAGGTGCTTATGATCTGGCTGGGCAGACAGGGCTTACACCACGAGCCTGTAGACTAAGAATATCTGTGATCTGTGATATCACAAGGCTGGAGGGGTTCACTGGAAGGACAGAGCAACGCTGACATCTTCAGGGAGGACTTCCTGGAGGAGGTGGCACTGAGCTGGATAATCCATGGACATCCACTCTCCCCAGAGCACCTTGCTCTGAGTCTCTCTCCTCCCCCTGGGAGTTACGATGATAATGCTACCAACACAGTGACAATGATGATAACGATTTCTTGAGCATAATACACAACAGGCTTATATCACTTCATTTAAATTTTGATCCTCTGAGAGACCCTCTGTAAAATGGTGCTAGGTTAGCCCCTCAGCACCCCATTTTACAGAAGAGGACACTGAGACTAGAAAATCTGAATTTTTAGAAATAACCACACAGCCAGTTGATGACAGATCTGAGGTTCCAACCCAGCTGGCCTAGATCCAAAGTCTGTGCTCTGAAGTCTGGACACAGCTTCCCCAGCTGACATAGTGTCCTGCTTAAGGCTCAAGGACCTCAGAGGGGGGTTCGGAGAAGGGCAAAGGGCACAGGGAAGCAGCCTTATAAGGACCAGGAATTGTTGAGAATAAGGGGTTCCCGCCTTCCATCATGCCTGGACAGAGTGTGCCTCCTAAGTGAGCGTGCATTTCATTGACAAAGGCTTAACTCAGGAGTGTGTGTGCCAGCTGTGGTGTTTCAGACCGCACGTGCCAGCTGGCTCCAGGGAGGCGCTGAGACAGTGCAGTGCAGGGGTGAGGAGGGCAGTCCTGACTCTAGGCTGCCTGGGCTGGAATCCTGATCCAGCCACTTCCTGGCTGTGTGATCTTGGACAAATTACTTAACAACTCTGTGCCTCAGTGCCTTCATCTATAAGGCGGGGGCAATGCGTCTGGAGCTGTTGTGGGGGCCAAGGGAGTTGATGTAAGTCAAGTGCAACAAGGGGGTTTTGACGTTGCTATTATCCTCTGGGGAGAGTCCTCTTGGACCGCTCAAAATATAGTATTAAAATATTGTGCCTTTTAGGGTTCCTTTTATTTTTGTTTTTGTTCTAATAACCATTTACCAAGTTCTTAGTATGTGAAGAAAACAAAGGAGGGCAGAGTTGAATAAAATAGGCCACTGGGACTCAGGCAGACCCTAATGAGGCCAAGGGAGAGTACCCTGTCCCGAGAGGCAGGCCTGGGCACCGCCTGTCAGCCCTGCCCTGGCCGGGACTGGTCAGGAAGGAGCCCACTGTTCAAATGGGCAAAGCCAGTCTCAGCAGCGGCACAGCTAGGAGGGCCCAGTGGTCAGGGCTGGGGCAGGGGAGTCACTCAGGCTGCGGATGCCCCATCTTGTCTTCCTGGATTGAGTGGAGAACAAACAGGTCCCTGGGGACAGGAGAAGGGAACAGCCCTTAGACGCCTTCTGCTCCAGACTGCCATGGTGCAGAGGCTGAAGGCTAGTGTGACCTTAAGTCAAGGCAGCAGAAATGCCAGACCAGGGCCACCACTGTCAGAATTCCCCCAGAGTGCCCTTTGCCACTTCCCAGGTGGATACCAGGGCTTATTGAATCCACATGGGGATTACCTCTAAACTTTTAAAAAGGAAAAATGTGGACAGTCCCCACTGCACAGGGCCAGTGCGGAGCTGGCTGGACTGTTTTTCATGTATGACCACTCTGGAGAGTGTGGGAAGGGTTACAGATGTTTAGAAGCTGAAGCCATCTCTACCACTGAGCTGTGTGGCCCTAGGCAAGTGCTTTACCCTCTCTGAGCCTCCTTTTCCTTACCTGTATACCAGTAGGCCCCTACCTAGAAGAGTTAAACAAAATAATATTTGTGGAGTGGCTGGCAAAGTGCCTGGCACAGTGCCTGGCTCATGGAGCGATGTGCAACAGCCATGCCCAGAGGTTTAGCAGGGGCTCAGAGGGGAGGCTGGAGTGGCCTGGAGAGGTCCCCAAGGTGTGTAAGATGAGGATTTACCATCTTCTGGGCAGGACAGAGATTCAGAGTTGAATAAAACAAAAACATAACTTTTAAGGAAAAATTTAATCTAATTCCTCCTATCGAGTGCTAATGCCTTTTTAAAAAGTGTATAGCTTGGCTGGGCGTAGTGGCTCACGACTGTAATCCCAGCACTCTGGGAGGCCAAGGCAGGTGGATTGCTCAAGGTCAGGAGTTCAAAACCAGCCTGAGCAAGAGCAAGACCCTGATTCTACTAAAAATAGAAAGAAATTAATTGGCTAACTAAAAATATATAGAAAAAATAAGCCAGGTATGGTGGCGTACGCCTGTTGTCTCAGCTACTTGGGAGGCTGAGGCAGGAAGATTGCTTAAGCCCAGGAGTTTGAGGTTGCCGTGAGCTAAGCTGATGCCACAGCAGTCTAGCCCGGGCAACAGAGTGAGACTCTGTCTCAAAAAAAAAAAGGGGGGGGTATACTTGACGCATAGCTATTACCCAGGTTAACATAGAGAACATTTTCTGCACCCCATAAGCTTATCTTGTGCCCCTTCCTAATCAAGATCCACCTCCTTGCCCAAGTAACCGCTACTCTGGCTTCTGGCGCTGTGGGTTAGTTTTGCTGATTCTTAGCCTCTCATGTGAATGCATCCACACAGATCACAGGTGATCTAAGGAAAGCGAAGGCCTGGCTATTTCTTTACCACCAGCATTGTGGACTAAGAGTCCTTCCTTTTCAAGAGGCTGTCTCTCTGGGTGTGACATTTTTATTTCTTTTTGTCTAATCTCTTTTTCTTAATTTTTCTATGAACGCATATTGTAACTTTACAAAATCATAATTGAAAATTTTAAACACATGCAGGGAGACTTGGATCCCTTGTGATATCACAGAGTAGGACTGACTGATAAAGTACAAGATGCCCAGTGAAATTTGAGTTTTAGGTAAATAATGAATAATCTTTTAGTGTAAGGATGTCCTAAATATTGCATGGGATTGGTGCTAGAGAGAGAAGGGGCTATCCCAGATCTTCTAGACCTGTGCCCTCGAGCTCCATGCCCTCAAGGACCCAAAAGCCATCCAGCCAGCATCCCGGTACCTGAGGAGTGTGATGACCACCTTCCCAGTGGAGACGTTTTCCAGGAAGCCATCCACCAGAAGTGCCCACTGCACCCCGAGCACCAGCAGGAAGAGGCTGAAGGCCACACCGCTCCAGCTGTATCTCCGCAAAGATGAGGCCAGGAAGCTCATGCCAAGGGCCGCCATGACGGTGACGTCCTGGAAGCCTGCCCAGGGAGGACAGGGCGAGAAGGAAAAGGGGGAAGCAGACAAGGCGGAGGGTGGTGAGTTCTACAGATGGCAGCTGACACCAACATTTGTGATCATTTACAAGTGCTTGGGCAAGTTACTGCTCCTCTTTGAGCCTCCATTTTCTCATCTGAATAAGGAGGATAATGCCGAGGTAAGGATTAGAGGAGCTAAGGCTGCTTAAGCGCTTAAGGCAGGGCCTGGCCCCTGGTGAGTGCTCAGAAAATGTAGCAATTATTGCTGTTATTAAACATAATGATATGAACACGTGCAGAGCATCACGACCTGTGCTTGGCACATAGTTGACACTCAGTGTATAAGGTAATTGCTGCTGTTATTAGGATCAGGTCCAACCCCCTGGTCAGGCACGTGGCAAAATAAGGCCACAGCAGCTGAGTGACTTGGCGCAGGTCGCACAGGAAAGAGGGGGCAGGGGCAGGCCCAGTGCTTCTGTTGGTGAGAACCAAATTATCTTTGCAGAAAACCTCTCTCTCCCTTTGCCACCTGCGGTGGGCTAGCAGAAAACACCAAGCGGCCCTCACCTTTCCTGGCCTCAGATCCTGAGCAGGGGCTGCTGTGTCAGGCGAGCGGGAGAGACGCAAGCGACGGCAGGGAGAGGTCTAGCAAAGGGGAAAGGTGAGCACTTTAATTCCAATTTTGAAAAATGGTTAACAGCTTGGTCTCCAGAACTAGACAAACCTGGGTTCAACTCAGGGCTCTGGCACTTTCTAGCTGTGTTGTCTTGATCTAGTTATTTAACGTCTCTGAGTTTTAATACCAGCCTACACTTACTGTTTGCCATGTGCCAACACTGTTTTAATCACTTTACATAGATTATCTTGTTTCGTTCTCTCAACCGTCCTTTGAGGTGGGTACTGTCAGAATCACCATTTGACAGATATGAAAACCAAGGCACAGAGGCCTTAAGTAACTTCCCAGGTGGTAGAGCCAATATTTAAATCTCAGCAGTCTGTTGGACTCTGGGCCTTTGACTATCTGCCTTCTTCATGTTCTCATCTGTTACATGGGAGAAATAATCAAACCTCTTCCATCAGGTTGCCAGGATCAAATGGTATAATGCACGTGATTGCTCAGAATAGTAAAGGCTATTTTCTCAATAAACACCAACTATTTGTACACAGGTGTAAATGCCTGGAGAGAGATCTATAAAGATCTTTGTTTTGTCCCCATAGATATTATGTCTGAGTTTGGGAGATTTTTACTTTCTCTTATTTTTATTGTTTAAATTTTCTGCCATCAGTGTGTAGACAATAAACAATTTTTTAAAAAAGGGAAAAAAGCATGGGCTTCGAGTTCAGACAGCTCCATCTGATCCCAGCTTTATCATGTGCTATTAGGTTAAACCTTATTAGATCGCCAAGAGTTGACTATGTTGACCTTATAAAAATGATAATTTATATGCTTCAACCGCACGGCCCTGCGGCTTTGTACACTGCTTACTTTCCTCATGAGCAATTATACCTAGCTCAGAGGGAGCCAGGAAATCTGAAGCAAATAATGTTTTGTTCAATGTTTGCTACAGTACCTGGCACACGGAGAACATTCAACAAACGGTGGCAATTCATCATCATTATGATAATCACAGCAATAAGGACTCACCTGCCACTGGTCTCCAGCCCTGATTTGGATAACAATGAGGAAGCTCTGATTATCAGAACTCTCCGAAGACTCAGAAAGCCCCTCGGATTTACAGAGTCCATTTAAATTCACTTCCACTGAAAAATACGCATACCTAGGGTCTGGCACATAGGACTTGGGTGGGTATGGATATTCCCAAATCAATCTGACAACATCAGGATACAGGAGGCCCCCAAGGACCTCAATATGACTTGGGCATTTGGGGAGTGGGAGAGAAGTGGGCATTAGGGAGGATTCAACTCTCTGCACCTCCTCTGACATGGGGGGAGGGAGGTGCAGGGAATGCTTTCGTCTCCTGCTGGCATCTTCTTAGGAGTGGGGGTGGGGTGGGGTGGTGAGGGCACATTTTGTACGGGGGTTCCTCCTTGGGATCATTCAAATTCCTTCAGGAGCCAAGGAGGAAATTTGTGTATGAAGGTGCACATTTGGGAGCAGTGAGGCCTGTGGCCAATTGGAGGCTGCATGGCCCACTGGAGACATTCAAATTCAACCTTTTATTAAACACTGTTAAACAAAAATGCATCTGCCATTTTGCAGCAACGCTATATGCACCCGGTCCAGACTTAGTGAAGATTCCATGAGTAGAGAGATCCCTCCATTTCCCTCCCATTTTATAGAAGGGGACCAGAGAGAGCCTGGGACTTTCTCAAGGCCACACAGCACACCAGCAGCAGAGCTCAGCTCTGAACTCCTGAAGCAGTGCCCTTCCACCTGCTAGGCTGTCCCTAGTTCTTTTTCTCCTCACCTTGCTAAAGGACTTTAGGCAAGTCTCTTGCCCTCTTTGGGCCTCAATTTCCCTATCTGTAACACATAGGAGTTGGACTAGATACTCTCTAAGTCCCTTACAGATCTGGAATATTCCAAGGAGGGGGCCGGCAGGAGAGTGGGGAGAGGAGAGTCACTAGGTTAAGGGCAGAGGTAGGTCCCTAAAATTAGAAAGTCAGAGGATCCTGGGTGGGGATCCAGGGGTGGGGACACCCCTGCTGCCCCAATTCTGGGCATAAGAGCTGAGGGCCTTGTTCCCCAAGGCCACATGCCATCCCTAAGGAAGGAATTGTGTTTCAGCCAACAAGATGGAATTAGGGCAGCTGTTTCCAAGAGCTGTTGACAGAGCCTGTGCTCCCCAGACTGGTCAGGAAATAACATTTGGTTTCAGGTCTCCTCTCCCCAAGCTCCTGCCTCCTTACACTTTCTTTCCCGGCCTCCTGGGGCTCTGGGCTCATATCTACTCCTCTTGCATCTCACTACCTGGGCCCTGCCCCAGGGCTGGGTCCCTGCTCAGAGCAGCCCCACTGTGGCAGTCTCCACCTCTCAGAGTCTGGTCTACACCCCCATCAGCCATGGGTCAGATAAGCTGATGGGCGCTAAGGTGTTCAGGGGTGATAAGGAGGTGCTACAGGGGCCCCCACTGACTGGGCCAGGAAGGGAATTTTACAGCCTAAAGCAGACCTTCAGGAAAAGCTTATGAAAGCCCCATGACTTGGAGAAAGAAAGTCTAACCTGGGAGTCCAGCTGGAGAGATGAGGCAATAATTACCATCACTGTAATGGCAGGCACCCAGAGGGTGCCCTCCACATACCGGGCACTGTTTCAAGTGCCTTACAGCCCACAGCGACCTCGTGCAGTAGGTACTATTGATTGTCCCCATCGTAGGGATGAGGAAAGGTAGCCACAGAGAGGTGCTATTAATATAACTGGCCCAAGTCACCTGGCTAGTAAATGGGGACAGGATTTGAAGCCCAACTATCTGGGTTTAACCACTGTACCATCCTGCCTCTCCATGTAGCACATGCAGTGTAATGGTGAAGAGTGTGGGGCTCTGAATCAGGTGGGCAGGATTCAGAGCCTCGCTTCACCTCTGTGTCCCAGCTTCCTCATCTCTAAAATGGACATGAAACAAGGGCACCTGCTCAGTGATTGCTGTGGGCATTGAGCTTGTTGGCTCATGCAAATAACTTTGCCCAGCACTGGGTGCATAGTGAGTGATGGTAGCTATCACCCCATGACTGCCACTTATTAGCTGTTTGACTTCAGGCAAAAATGTTCCTTCTTCAGGCCCGTTGCAAAGAGTCCACTTGCAAAGAGTTCGTTTGGATAATAGCAGTTTGGCCTTTTGAGTCCATCTCCATGGGCAGCTGCCTCCTCCAGCCTGGTGCTCCTGTGATTCTGGATCTGTGCTGCCTCCACTCTTGCCCCTCCCTCTGGCCTGCAGAAACTTCAGCACTAACATCTCTGATGCCAGACCCAGCTTTTGTCCCCCAGGCTCCAGGGTTGACCTCCACACCGTGCTCCCCACTGCTGACTGGGAAGACCTTGGTGCCATCCATGGAGCCCCATGCTGCCACCTCCTCCCTCACAGCCTCTAGTCCCACCCACTCTCATCCCCACAGCAGCCTGGGAAAAGAAAAAGAGATTTTCCCAAAGGGGAAGCCCAGGGCTGAGATGCGGAAGGTGCCAGCGTTTGGGGTATTTACATGTCACTGGGAACATCCCTCTTGTCTTCTAGGAGCCCTTCTCCCTGCCTCTGAAGAATATGTGGCTGGTGGAGGGCCACTGAGTGGTATCCACAGCACAAGGCCCAGGACGGTCCCCCAATTTGGCAGCCCTAGTTTACCTCTTTGTGGCAGTAGATTGTTACAGTAATGGCCCCTAATGAACTACCAACTGCCCAACATATGAATGAGGCCACCTGAAGCCATCCTGCCCCAATCAAACCTCCAGGCTATAGATGCATGAGTAACCCTAGGTGAAACCAACAGAAGAACTGCCTAGCTGAGCCCAGCCCAATTGCTGAATGAACCATAGAATCATGATCATGAGTAAATAAAAAGGTTGCTATTTTAAGCTACTAAGTTTGGGGTGATTGTTATGCAGCAATAGATAACTGATGCACTCTGCTTCCCCTAAGCAAAATATCTCTCAGGCTGCTCAACTCTAAGTCCAGAATGAACATATCATTGTTCACTTACCCCACAACCTGTTCCTACCCTTGTGCCTCTCATCTCTGGACCTGGTGCTTCTACATGCCACATCATACATCTGCAGCCATCCTCTGCTCCTCCCTCTTTGCACCAAGTGCAGCTGATTTTAGCCCCTAAATATCTCTGGAATCCAACTCCTTGCTTCCTCTCCACTGCTCTGGCCCATTTGGCTTCATCATAGATCATCCAGACTAGTGTTCATTAGAGCAAGGAATACATGCCTCAGATGACACCCAAGACAATCAGCAGGGGTGGCTGGAAGAAAATGTTAGCACTTCTAGTTTTATTTATTTTTAATCTAAAAAATAAAAAAATAAAGCTTACTAATAATAAAAGCTAACACTTTTTTCATCAGTCTTTATGTGTGTTAATTTTTTAATCCTTTTAGTAACTTAATGAAAAAGTTCTATCACCAACTAATAGAGGTTAAACACAGCACATTTTCACAATGAATGAAGACGAAAAGGTCTTGTTTACATTATCCTATCTCTTTTTCTCTTTTGTTATTCTGGATAAAAGCAACTGAATATATCAAACCAATCTTTAATAATCTCTAAAAGTCGGAGTTATACAAGAGAAAAGCGTATCAAGCGTTGATCACAGTCTAAACAAAAATTAAAATTCTGTATATATCACCTACCACTCTATTAGTTGGTGATAGAACTTTTCATTAAGTTACTAAAAGGATTAAAAATTAACACCACATTAAAGAGATGAAAAAAGTGTTAGCTTTTATTATTAGTATAACTTTTTTATTTTTTAGATTAAAAATAAATAAAACTAGAAGTGCTAACATTTTCTTCCAGCCACCCCTGCTGATTGTCTTGGGTGTCATCTGAGGCATGTATTCCTTGCTCTAATGAACACTAGTCTGGATGATCTATGATGAAGCCAAATGGGCCAGAGCAGTGGAGAGGAAGCAAAGGAGTTGGATTCCAGCCAGGAATTTAGCTGCACTTGGTGCAAAGAGGGAGGAGCAGAGGATGGCTGCAGATGTATGATGGTGGCATGTAGAGGCACCAGGCCAGAGATGAGGAGGCACAAGGGTAGGAACAGGTTGTGGGGTAAGTGTACAATGATATGTTCATTCTGGACTTAGAGTTGAGCAGCCTGAGAGATATTTTGCTTAGGGGAAGCAAGTGCATCAGTTATCTATTGCTCGCATAACAATCACCCCAAACTTAGTAGCTTAAAATAGCAACCTTTTTATTTACTCCTGATCATGATTCTATGGTCATTCAGCAATTGGCTGGGCTCAGCTAGGCAGTTCTCTGTTGGTTTCACCTAGGGTTACTCATCTATAGCCTGGAGGTTGATTGGGGCAGGATGGCTTCAGGTGGGCCTCATTCACATGTTGGGCAGTTTGGTATTCATTAGGGGCCATTACTGTAACAATCTACTGCACAAAGAGGTAAACTAGGGCTGCCAAATTGGGGGACCATCCTGGGGCCTTGTGCTGTGGATACCACTCAGTGGCCCTCCACCAGCCACCCCCATATTCTTCAGGAGGCAGGGAGAAGGGCTCCTAGAAGACAAGAGGGATGTTCCCAGTGAATGTAAATACCCAAACGCTGGCACCTTCCGCATCTCAGCCCTGGGCTTCCCCTTTGGGAAAATCTTTTTCTAATTTTCCCAGGCTTGCTTGTGGGGGATGAGAGTGGGTGGGACTAGAGGGCTGTGAGAGGAGGAGGTGGCAGCATGGGCTCCATGGATGGCACCAAGGTCTTCCCAGTCAGCAGTGGGGAGCACGGTGTGGAGGTCACAGCCTGGAGCCTGTGGGGACAAAGCTGGGTCTGGCATCAGAGATGTTAGTGCTGAAGTTTCTGCAGGCCAGAGGGAGGGGCAAGAGTGGAGGGCAGCACAGATCCAGAATCACAGGAGCACCAGGCTGGAGGAGGCAGCTGCCATGGAGATGGACTCAAAAGCCAAAACTGCTATTATCCTAAACGAACTCTTCTGCAAGTGGACTCTTTTGCCAACGGCCTGAAGACGGAACATTTTTGCCTAAAGTCAAACAGCTAATAAGTGGCAGTCATGGGAAG